ATAATACATACTAAAAAATACTTAACTCTATTAACCAAGGTAGATATAAAGTTGTCTATATCTATGAACTGAATCATGCAATAATGGACCAGTATGAACAGGTCGTTAACACATCGGTAGGGAGCATTGATCAGACAATTTTTTTACACACTTCTAAATTGAGATTCAGTTCGACTGCTTATTATCTGTATGTACAGTTGAAAATGTGCCTATTCTTCCTCTGAGATTATTTCTTTTTGATCTTACGTTTATTTCCTTCTGTCCAGAATACAGGGTCGCCGGTTACAGTATCAATAATGTACCGGATCCTAAACAATAACAAATGAATAGACTGGTTTATTAAGTTTTCCAAAGCCAACTCTTTTATTTTTCTCCTTTTACATTCCAAATTTAAATAATATTTTATTAAGTGCCGGACTTAAATTATATACTCGAAATAACAGCTTCAACTATTAAGACTATAGCTTCCAACAAGGCTGGGATGTAAGATTTAATACAGCTACTACTCTCAACTGCTCCTCTGTGTAGAACGGATCCCCCCCCCCCCTCCCCACCAACATCCTTCAAAGCGCAAAAGTGACGTAACCTTTATTACCATATTTTATGACATGTCCTATTTTATCCACCGCTCTTTTGATATAAGTGGTCAATGAAATACAGAAACAACTAAATACCTACGTTATACTTGCTAAGGTAACGAAAACATTTCGCTAAACCCTTGGGTCAGTCAGTGAACTCTTGATTTGTAACTTTTTGTTAGATCATGTAAAATAACTATCGTCTATGTATAGGTACGAGTAAAAAATTTATGAACCAAGTTAATTAAGAAACTCTCACACATTGATACAAGTAATTGTTTTTTTTTTATAAAAGTTTAGTCGGCATAGGACGCGTCGTCGTGATGCTACCTCAACTTTTGAACATTGCTGTAAATTCCCTAAAACCACGTATACATTAGTAAATCAATATTGTTAACAAATCCCAGTGGCACATTTTCGCTTCATCATTGTCATTCTCCTCTTACTCGTTTTTACGATATTTACCTCTATCTAGGCAAACCGGCTTTATGGAGAACCATTTCCGCTCGAGTTTATCTTATTCTGTCTATTCTTCCCTGCATTAGTGTAAATATTCACAATCTACGGCATCTTTATGAAAAGTGACGTTTCAAGTGGGTTTATAGTACCCCCCCAATACCCCAATACTTTATAGTTTAGAAACATCACATAAGTAGGTACCTACCCAATTGTAATTTTTCCTTTATCGACGACAAATCGTCATTTTCGGCTACCATAATCTGAGGATATGGTATAATTAATTTGTATTCGAAAATTACATTCAAGTACAAAAACTATAGCCTACAAATTTAAACGCAGCCTTACCAGGAAAATGAGTAACACGTTTTGGAAATACCAGTTTACGACGCGGCGCCAAGTAGCCATTGTGCGAGACCTTTACAACGATAGATGAGAGTGAAAAGTCACTAAAACGAAATATTATATTTAGTAAAATAATGAAGTCTAGACAATCATACAACGTACACACACACATACTTAATCATTTATTTAAGTCTGAAGTATTAACGTAAAGTAACTTTATTTCTGACTAGCCTAGACTAGTGCCCAGGTTTTCACTACCCGAAATTTATAGCTTACGTATTATTCTGCTGTATAAAGCTATATTATTGTAAAGTTTCTTCAAATTCCATTCAGTAGTATTTGTAGTAACAAACATCCATTCTTTCATCCACAGTTATAAACTTGCACATTTATAATATTAGTAAGACGGTAAGTATTATTAATATAAGTAAATATTATAAGGCGGTGAGTAATATTAATGTAAGTAAATATTATAAGGCCCTCATTAGCTTCTCCCTGGTAGCTGTTAATTGTGAGTTTGTATACTCGTATATTACCATAACTTGGAATAATCTTTTAAATAGTGAAAGAAAAAAAATCTGAAAAACTGATATAATGGTGCTGGAGTTTACTTCCTTTAAAACGCACTCTTTCTCTAGCGTAATAATATAAGTATAGTACATATATATGATTGAAATAATTCTATTATTATAAAATAATAAAAATATTTTGTATATTTTAAAAACCAATTATTATACAAAATTCAATACATAAAGTTAATTAGAATTACTTAAAACAAAAAAAATAATTTAACTACAAATACTACAATACCAAAACAATGTAATATCATACAACTACACATAATTTGTATTCTGTGAAATCATTCGAACAACATCACCGGAACAAAACGCAAACTAGTATATTCAAATCCACCCAAGAACCCGAACCTTTATTAATATCATTTTATTATACCATATATACTTCTCATCTCATCTACATAATAGATGCACAAATGCAAGAAAGTACCAACTTATATTTTGTCACTATCTCACGAAATTTCGTATATTGTTCAGATGTTTGTCTGTCTGTGCTGTTTTCTGTGCAGGAAATAGAAATACAAATAATTTTTATTCAAATAAACTCAGTATAGGAATAGTCATGTATTGATTCTACCACTCATTCGTTCGTTCAATCAGATAATATTGTCAGCGCTATGGATTATTTAAGTTTTTCTATAAAAACATTATTATCGGTAACGAATTCTTCAATTTTATAGTAAGCTTTTTTTACAAAGGAAGTGTTTTATATGACATTTAAATATTTTTTCAGGCTTATTTATAACAGATTCTGGTATTTTGTTGTAAAACGCATTACTAACTTTAGTTAAACGACATTTAGGTAATCAGGCTAATCCCAGATGCGGTTTTATTTTTTTATTTATTTGCTTTGAATAAATATATAAATACATAGTTCCACATTCAGGTACCTTCAAAGCCTGAAATATAAATAATTTTAATATTAATATTGAATATTTATCATAATGATTTCAAATAATAAAATGTCAAAATAATATATGTATGTACAAAATTGAGTCAGATAATTAAAATTATAATATGTTGTGCTCAGCTATCTATAATTTTTTTTCGTTGCAATCTAACAATCAAAAAGTTAAGTTGACCTATAATTAGTCATTATTATCTTATTTGTGTACGTACGAAGTTGCGGCACGTCTAGTAATGTAGTGAACCGCCCAGGTAATATGTAAATTTATGTTTATGGAGATAAGTAGATAGAACCTATGGTCACTCATAAACATATAGTTGGGTAAATACAATGTAGGTGGGTAGGTACCTACTTCATCATAGTTCATCACTGTGACGGTAGTGACAAATCCGTCGATATTTGTAACCAGTTATATCCATTCATTACAAACCAGTTGTATGTTCCTCTGCATAAATCACTAATGTGACAAGGTACAAAATTGTGTTAAACTTATTATTAGGTAGGTAACTGCCTATTGGGAACGGGAAATAACGGATGAGTTCCGCGCCGGAAAAACCGCATAGTTCAAGGCATGAAATATTTGACTACAAACAATATCTGTAAAGAACCACCAAATACCCTAATTTTGACTACATTACGTACTTAAATACGAAAGTGTGTATCTTTATTATCTTTTAGTAACTAAACGGATGAACATATAATTACGCTATTACATCTCTATCACAATACTAAGCTACGACTCGCTCAAAAAAATACGAAAAGAATTTGACGACCTGCCAGTAATAATAATGGGAACGAAGAACAATCAAGTGCCCTATGTTTTTTTGCGAATTATATTCACTTTCATACGTATAATGGCATAACCAATACGACTATTGACTAATAAATGTATGTTAATGTTGGAAACGTTTGTTACTCAAGAACGTCACAATCTATGAATATATTTATCGTAACATGATTATGTCTATACTACACAATTCAAAACACATTTTAGCTTCGCCAAAATCCTCGAAATTGGTATACCTTTATTTGGTTAATTACATTGTAATAGTTTTTATTTCTACGTAATTGGAATGGCAAACAACCACCCATCATAACACATCACCACCTGATGGTAAGTAGTAACCGTCGCCTATATAGGTACATGAATAGCACCACGGACATCACGTTATCATGATTCCGATGATACCATTCATACATTGTATTTTGACTCAATAATAACAAATTAATTCACTATGTAATCTCATTTGACAACCGACACAAAACTTACAAAGCAAGCTACTTGCCCGTTGAAATAGTTGAGACTGAGGTACCCTCCTAAACCTCTTTTTAGAGTCTATATACCTACCTCTTGTAAAATAAATTCAATCCATAAAATATATAGTATAATAAATTAAATTCTATACAATAAGTCTATCTAAATATTACCTATAATTATAAAACCGTAGCTATTGATGGGACGTGAAGGTATAACGGATTGAGTATCACGAGAGCGGATATAGGCTATCTTTTGTCCCAAAAAAGCCAGATGAAGTCGCGGGTAACGTTAGTTGATAATTATAATGTGTCTTTCTAATACAAATTATCTTTAATTTACTAGATCAACTACACATCATGCTCATTTTCCAACTTATAAAACATTCTGTGGATGATATTAATATCATCCATAATGATATTAATTATTAAACAATAGTTAACTATAAACACTGTCGGTTAGTGAATAAACGCCTTAAAATGGAAGCTGTCACTTTCTCCATAGATAATAAAAAGTGATTCCAAGATTGCCGTTTTAGAATTAGATACAGCTTTTCAAATTTCAAATCAATTTATTTAGGTTGTTAAAACTATTGCTTTCGAAAATAAATCATCTTTTAAATAATGCATTCTTTGTGTTGTAATTTATTATTATTTTCCTATTTTTTTTAAATTTAAGAATATTACTTAATATTTATACCTGTCTACAATTCTATTATTATAATGTCTTTTTTGCATTACAATTTACAAATGTTGACAAATATTAATAAATAATTAATGTAAATTTAATGCATTCTTTTAAGTCTTATATATTTTTAAATGGTTTGGCCTAAAAGCTTTAACACAGATAGAGCTGGTAACATTATAAAAAAAAAAATTCAAACATGGACGTCTGTGTATAATATTTCGGCATCGGCGATTTATTAAAATATTTCATCTATAATGTGTATTTATTTAGTCTACAACTTATTTTTTTAACTTTTTGTGAAATAGAAAATGGTAACGATTGTTGACGATTTGGATTCATTATCTTTGAACGAGCAAATATTTAAAGATGTTAAATATTACTTGTCTGGCGATGTGTCCGAAAGGGTTTGTTTATATTATTTTGTTTTATTTTTATTTGGATGTAAGATTTGAAATAACCTGTTCGTTTATTCTCGACCTTTGTAGATTATGCTGCTTCTCCAGTCGGGCGGCGCTGAGAACACAAAATACTTTTCTGACTATGTCACGCATCTAATTTGTGGTCAGAATGCCGCTGATACGGACCTCGATGATGCACAGGACATCTATCAAATCCCTGCTGTGACTGAAAACTGGGTCCTCGCTTGCATTCGGTTGAAGAAATTAGCCAACCACAAGCCATACAATCCAATAAGAAATAAGATTTTTTCAAATGTTGTTGCTTGTGTGTCTAAAGTGAGTGCAGCTGACTGTAAGGCGTTATTCGCTCTAATTACATATCATGGTGGAAAAGTAAAATTGCAATTAGACAGTCAGTGCTCACACCTGATTTGTGGTTCAGCATCTGGGAAGAAATATCAAACAGCTCTTACATTTTCTAGTTCGAAAATTAAAATAGTGACACCCGATTGGGTGCTGGAGAGTTTAAGAGCTAGGATACAAGCCGTAGCTGAAGTGTTTCATCCAAAATTGCTTATCATACCACAGCCTCCTCCAAAGCCAATGGATCGAATCAGTGCCATTACTGGATTTGATTTTGAAGAAGGTATAGCAAAAAACGAAGTTCCAACCCAGAATATGGCAGAAAACAAAGATGATAGCACACAAGCTCTGCTAGATAAACTGAAACAGAGAATGCCCTGGAATCATCCTCCATCAACTGCAAACTCATCGTCTATAGCAACTTCTACTGTTAACTCATTAGGCTATACAAGTACTACATTGCCTACATCTAGTATTATGAGTAAAACAATACCTCAGGGCATTGTCACACAAAATTTACAAATACAACAGCCAAGTAGTCAGCCAAATGCACAATTAATGCAAAAGTTTGGACAGAATACAATTGTCTCACAATCTCCTATTAATGTGCAGAGCCAACAGATAAGCTTACAGCAACAACAACCACAGTATAGCCAGGGCCAACAACAGCCTCAACAGCAGCAGCCGCATGGTTTAACTGCTATTCAAATCCAACAGCAGAAAATGCTTCAACAACATCAACTTAAAATGCAAATGTTGCAACAACACCAACAACAGAATAAAATTGGTAACCAGCCGAGCCAACAGGGATTTCCACAGCCCAATGTCTCTGTGTCTCAAATTAACCAGGGCTTGTCTGGACAAATTCAACATATACAGGGCACCCAACATCATATTCAGCAGAATGTACAGACTCCTAATACATCCATGAGTTCAGCTCAACAACAAATTGAAAATATAAGCCAAATGCTTAGTCAAAGTGCTAATAGTATTCAACAACAACAGTTAAATCAGCAGAATTTAGCCATGAAACAGAACTTAAGCTTAAGTCAGCAAACTGCATCACAAGCAGTTCAGAATATTGCACAACAGTTGGCACAATCAACTCAAAGTTTCCAAAATGCAAAGCTGAATCAAAATATGGCACAAGGTCAAGTGATCACGCAACAATTGATAGGGTCTGGACAACAACTGTCAAATCAAAATCCAAACTTGATACAACAACAGACAGTCCAATCCCTAACTAACCAACAACAAAATATAAATATGGGTGTTGTGAATCAACAAGGACATGTCACATCATCTCAGGGTCAGCAAGGACAAAGTGTACAACTCAATCAACTTGTAGGTAATTCTGGACAACAAACTGTTATTGGACAACAAATACAATCTGTCCAACAAACCATTCAGGGCCAGCAGAGTACTAATGTGCCAGTGCAAGGAACATGGCGACAACAAAACATACAGATGGTTCAAAATATCCAAGGCCAACATCAAATTATCAGAAGTCCAATGGTACAGTCTCGGAATCCACAAAACCAAGTTATACTTCAACAGCAAATCATGCAAACTCAGCAGCAAGCCTTGATTAACAATCAGCAACCGCAGTTGAGTCCACAGCATACTATCCAACAAACTTCTCAACAAATTCTCCAACAATCTATTGGGTCGCAGGGTCAACCTATAGGTCAAACTCATCATCAAATATTGGTTCAAAAGCAACAGTTACTAAATAGTTCAGGACAACAACAAATAGTTCAAGCTCCTCAGCAGGTGTTAATAAATCAACACACAGGCCAACAGCAAATATTGGTACATGGTAACCAACAGGTGACTTTGCAAAGTGGTCAACAAATTGTATCTCAAAGTCAAATAGTTCACCAAGGAGGTCAAATTGTAAACCAAGGTGGACAGCAAATCATTACTCAGGGCAACCAGCAGGTATTGTCACAAGGAGGCCAACATGTTATCACACAGCAGGGCCAACAGCATCAAGTTGTAATAGCTCAATCATCCCAGCAAATTGTGACTCAATCAGGGCAACAGATAATTGGCCAACAAGTTGGGCAAACACAGCAAGTTTTGTCTCAGCTCCCCCAGTCTCCTCAGGCTGGGTCACAGTTGACATCTGGTGGTGGCATTCAGCAAATTATCACCCATGGTGGTGGTCAACAGATAGTGTCTCCTGGAGGCCAGCAGATAGTGCAGGGTGGGCAAAATGTTTCATGGCAACAGCAACAATATTTGCAACAGAGACAACAAATTGCACAGCCGGGTGGTGTTGGGCCTAGGGTGAGTTATTTTTATTTTCTATTTCATTAATTATAAACACATGTGTGTTTTTCTGTTATTTTCACACTGAACATTTTCCTATAATGGCTTTTTCTCTTCACTATATTCATATTATTCATTCTTAATTGTTGAATGGAGATAATGTACATGTGTCTGTTTTTTAAACACTAATATATTAAACAAGCATGAATGTGAGAAAAGAAAGAATTGTATATAAAGACAGAAGCACTTGGTTCTCTCTGCATACCCATAAGGGATTTGGCGTTAAGGTACAGAAAAATATATAAGATGCACTATATACTACATAGTTTTTATTATGAGTTACGACAAAACCTGCACTATAAGAAAAGAAACAGAATAATAGATATTTTTATTATACTCCTCCCTTATCTGCAATCAGTCCCAGAACTATAAGCAGGATAATAAATAATGTAATTGAATATGTGTTCAGGTGTCATGGACGGCGGGCGGCGGAGGCAGACAACTAATTCACCTGGATGCGCAAACTCACGCACAGCTACAACAGATGGACCCTAAACAACGAGCTATGTTCGTCGCACAACTGCAGAAAAGGCGTCAGCTCAGTATGCAGCGTGCAGCGGCGCTGGCACAACAACAGGTATATTTGTTATTTTTTTTGTGATATAACAAGCCAATGGCCCGCCTAATAGAAATAGTAGCTATCTCATAAACATATGAGTACACCACTGGCATTGCAGAATAGATTGTGATCCATGTTATAATTTTTATGTCCAATGTTCTTAAGAATTAAGTTGTTATGCCTCCAGAACTCGTAATTTCACTGCCATGTCTTTCTCCATCTAAAATTTATATAGTTTACATGCAAATTTCTAGAGTACTGTTTTATATGGTACTTATTGTAATAATGTGAATGTGTATATAGATTATTGCTCCATTGATTTCCAGTATCGTCTTATCTACTTCAACATGTAAAAAATCTTTAAGTAGGTACCATATACTGGAAAATAATATATTACATATCTTGTTTTCATTATAAAAACACTTGCACAACTATTAGTATCTAGAACAGTAAATTTCCAGTGTCATATAGTTTTAGTATATGTCAATATACTTACATATTGATCTGATAAAGCAGTTTATTATTAGACTAAAACTTTAATACATTCAACATATACTTCTAAATTAATATTACAGCAGCCAGGTGTAGTGACAGGCTCTCCGGGTGCTCCGACGCCGGCTGGGGCTCCTCAGAGTGTCACCTTCATACGCAGTCAGCTGCCCGCAGGCCTCACACAGCAACAACAGGTTTTGCTATTATTTAGCTTTCACAAACATAACTGATGTAATAAAAAGGAGCACATCCCTGGATGTGTATAAACTCAAAGCGACAGATAATAAAGCAATCTAAAAAAGTAATATTATTTAACAATTGGAATGTTGTGTCACTTTCTTTCAAATTAATATAATAGCTTGTGTGAAAAGGACAAAGTGTTTAATAGCAAAGTTATGAAACAAAGATAATTCTCAATTTGTCTGTACAGTTCTCTTTGTGTATGAAAATTCTGAATAAACTATTATTTTTTATAATCAGATATATATATATATTTCTATGTTTTTAAAGGTACAATGGCTACAGCAGCAAGGAGCTCGAGCGGCTACGATACCGGCACCGGCGCCTGCGCAACCACCACAGTCACCTGGTATGTCAAATGTTTGGATATTACATTTAAAAATAGACAAAATTGATATTTTCACTATATAACTGTATTCCAAAAAATCGTGTTGGGTCATGGTGGAAAGTTCCACTTTTTATAGCTTAGCAGCACCACAGAAATCACGTCGTACATTCATGCGCAACACAGTAATCGGTAAACACTGAAGCCCAAGATGTTATGCTTCTATACCCTGTAATTTCACGCCATATCTCACCGGACAGTCATAAAAACAGCTTATAAAGCGAACTGATTGGCAGCATAAATTGGTGAGACAGAGTTACCCATGCTGACGACTTTGTATAGTTGCTAAGTATGACAATCATGTACATCATAAATATTACATATCTATGACTAAGTGAAAGAATCCCCTATTCTGAAGTTGGTTAAATACATGGAAGATGCCCTATTTCGTTTCACCAACTCTCAAGTTCTGTAATCGTTACATAACGTGTTTAGAACATTTGGTATTCAAATCCAACTCATACATATGATAGAGATGTGACGCTTTTTATCACCTATTATAATTTCAATGCGTTATCTACGATTTCTCTAAGCATCCAGTAACCCTTCGCACTCCGTAATATAACAACTAGATCAAAGCTCTCGTAACGGTTGTTACTGTGTGTTTTTGTGATATTGTGCTATATGGAAAGAAGTAAGATTCATGAATTTAATATGTTGATGTCTTTCACGACAAATGTTTCGATTTAATCCGGAAGAAAATATTATATTTAAAATAATTAGTATAGTATATTTAAATTAATATTAAAAAAAAGTCTATGTTTTCGTATCCGTTTCTCCGCGCACTACTAACATACCATTACATAATGGATTTTGATATGGTTTTCACTTTCTTACGGAAATTTTATATAATACAAGCATATAGTTATACGGCATACACTGTTCACCCATGCGAAGCTGGGATGGGTCGCTAGTGTAATGTAAAGTCAAAGTCACAATAATAAGCTATTTTTTCATGTACATAAATATATGTATATATATAAATTTTAGACATCCGTAAATGTATTGTATTCAATACAATTTACGCACGTTAAAAGTATTCGCTACTAGCCTAACAGGAGTTTCTTAATGAATTAATATGGAATAGTATACCCGTCATATCAGGCACCACTTGACGGTAAGCGGTAACCGTCGCCTATATACATAAACAGCAATAATGCTGTATGGACATCACATTATCATATGACACCCTTATGGGTGGTATCATTGCCATTCCAGAGGATTAACATATCATCCCTATTTTCCTACAATTTCACCGCAAGTTTCTTGCTCGTTCGTCTTGTGATGAAACAACTTTCAATGATCATCCAAACGTTCTTAAATTTAAGTTTTTTTTTAATAAATGATTTCTATTCTATTAAATTTGTAATTATGAGTATCGTGTTTCTAAGCATCTACATATTAAATACCATTTGATAAATGTTGTGCAGTGGGCGGAGCTCCCGTGGCTAGTCCGGTGGGCGCGGGAGGTGCGGTGCAAGCAGCTGGTGCAGGCGGCGCCGCCATAGACTCGCAGGTGCAGCAGTTGCAGTTGCACCGACAGAACCAGTATCGACTGCAACAGTTGCAGGCGCAAAGGGATCTATTCGCGCAGCGCGAACACATCGCGCATCATCACGCCGCGGTGAAGCAGGTCCAGGTCTCATCAAATATTATTTACATCTTTACATAGTATAAAATTAAGTCGCTTCCATTTTCTATTCACTTAGATCTTTTAAACTACGTGACGGATTTTAATGCAGTTTCAAGCAATAGATAGAGTGATTTAAGAGGAAGGTTTATATGTATTATTAGCTCACCCGCGCAATTTCGTCAGATATACTTCACCCAATTTACACAATAAATTGTATGTATAAGCTATGTTACTGTACAGTTTCATCAAAATTCGTTCAGTACTTTTTTTTTACGTGACGAGTAACAAACGTACATCCATCTATCCATCCATAGTAATCCATACTCACAAACTCTCACGTTTATAATATTAATAAGATACATGCATGTTATAGCAAAGAACAACCTGGGAAATTCAATGATTTGTAATGCATCTGCGCAAAGCCGGGATTGGTCGCTAGTTTTATACGAATGAAATAATGATATGAGGAGATAAAAACCATCACTCCTAAGAATATCCTTCATTTTGGCCCTGACGGGTCTAGGTAGCGAACTCTGAAATAGGACAATCACGATAGATCTTTGTAGGTCACAGTGCTACATGTCCAACCACCTGAAAATAACCCAAACATCCCAAGAAAAAAAAATGAAATGGGAAACAACAGGATTGCACGCATGACGGAATGTGAATATCATCGTCTATACATGAACTGCACCGTCCTAACAAAGGTGTCAAGCCTACATACTATGTAATCGAATACAGTTTACAAGTCAAGCTGCTTGGTGGCTGAAATTGGTGCGATAGAGGTTCTGTCTGGGTATAGGTGACTTTAGACAAAGTTTACCAATATAAATACATCTTCTATCCTAGTGTATTATGTTAATATTTCCTACATTGAGATTGATAAGTGTATTGTGCTACATACAGGTGGGTGTAGGAGTCGGCGTAGCGCCGCAGTTAGTGGCGGCCGTACTTCCCGAAGCCGCACAGGAATCCGCTGGTGAATTACACCAAGGTATTGTCCTCCTTGAAAGTTGATATGAACTTAATGTACACTGATTCTCACTACCACAATAAGAGTGTTAATAATATGACAGAAAACAGTATAAATATGATAATAGCAGAATGATATCTGCCGGATCTAACACACTTAAGAGGCCTATTACAAAATGATGCCGCTCAACTTTAGGTTTAATCGCATGGATTTACGCACACACACAGCAATACACGCACACAGACGCAAATAACCGTGTAGCGCAATCGGTGTGGATTTAGTATGAACCATTTTGATCCTTGTAATATTTTAATTAATAATGTGATATGTTTCTACTTAACTGAGTAACATAAACTACTTATTGGATTTTTTAAAATAACGTGATTTTTCTTAATTGTCAAAGTGCTAATAATGACCATATTTTTTTATTATATTATTCCTAGAGGGTTGATGTCAGGATGCTGGCCGATTGTACAACTAAAAGCCAAAACCTTAAGTAATATGAGTAACAAATAGTTGGGATAAGGACAAGAAGATGAAATTACTATAACATAAATTTACTAATTAATTCTTCTTACATATTAATTCAGTTTATTTATTAATAGATACAATATAATTTATTATAAGAGTCGGATACATTATTGCCATATTCACTTGTTCTAAATATTATACTTAGCAAATAATTATTTTATTTATATATAATAGTTGTGTTTTCAAGGCTTTGTTTTGATTTAAAGGTCCCATCCTTATATGTATATTAGGTGTATCCGCGACTTCGTCGGCGTGGTATAATGAAATTGACCAAATAAAGGAAATATATTTAGATTATAACCTAAAAAAGTTTCATTGTTTCACTTAAACAATGACGATACTTTTATACAACCTTTCATCTCCGCTTTTAATCCCTTACAATACTTTTTTCGCACTATAAAGTAGTCTATGACCTTTCTCAGGGTATACTATCTGTGTATATGTATATCTATCTATATAGACTACCTGTGTATATATATGGTAGTGAATTTACAGGGTACAGGGGAATAACACCCGAGTTTTCAGGAATGGCAACGCATGAGGGAAACAATATGCTGATATGAACATGTCAGGTACTGCTCATGTATATAGGCGACGATTACCCTTTCCATCAGGAGAGCCGTCAGCTTGTTTGCCATTCTAAGTTGTAAAAAAACAGCTTCAACTGCTATCATTGCTGTTCCTGCATCATTGACGTCGCCGCATGATATTGGCTGATATTGCAGCTTCTCGTTCTTGGTTGGCCAATTATTGATTCTTGATAAATAATTACTTGTTAATATCAAACCTATTTGTAAATTATTACAAGACGCCTCATTGATTATATGTAATGAAATCACCATGAGCTATAGAGATTTTGGATAGAACCTTAAAAGACCTTAGAAACACCTCTGCTCTCATTGGCGGGATTACTTTTATACTTTTGCTGGAGATTTCTGAAAGACTCTCTGTGTCATTACCATCCTCTCCCTTATGTACTTTAATTGAAAGTTTAAAACTACTGACAAATTTGAGAGCTCATTTTTATGGAAGCATAGATAGTGATTTCCCACACTAACTGCTCAAACTTGAGGAAGGAATTTCTCAAAAGCATGATCCAATCATGAAATTTAAGCCCGCCGAACATGTGCAATGGCATCCCATTGGATATGTTGCTTACTAAAGAATTGAAAGACAATTTAATTGTAGACCATTATAACCGGTACGTTAGCTGGGCAACCAGCTTATATACCAAGAATACCGATGATTCCAACTGATCTGCCAATACCATTTTAACGGCTTCAATTTCCGGTTAAAATATCATCTACACATGTAATAGATCTATGTATGTTTTGATCTTAAAAAACTACGCAGATTTTGATTCGTTGTTATTTAATAGACAGAATAGATAGACTCAAGAGGAAGGTTTATATATAAGGACCCAATACTGTACACGGATGTTTAAACGCGCGATAACCTATATATCCCATATTCACGCGGGCGAAGCCGCGAGCTAAAAGCTAGTCACTAAATAAAAACATTTATAATGTTGTTGACTTTTCACCCAAACACCCATAATTATTTGACATAACTGTACAGTAATGAAAGTCCAACGAGTATAATAACAGAATGGCTGCAATTTAGAAATATCTGTATTGTGTAAAATAAAATAAAGTAAATTGGATAAAGTATCTCTAAACATTAAGGAATATAATTTATATATAATTTGGTAATTTATTTACAATCCACATTGCATACTAGATGATATAACACAAGACAAATGTACGTAAAAATAATAATGGTATTTTTATAAACAATAACCCTATTTTAATTTAGAAAAAAACTACAAAATAAACATAAAGTAAAATTGGTTTACATTTTCTTACATTTTTCTCTCAGATAAGCGTTATTTTTAAAAATACTAAAACGTTCTCTTTTTTAACTTTAACAATTAATTGCCATTAGTGTGACGAAATACCATGCTCTTGTGCTTTTCATAGTGCAGCAGGGTAGGTAGGTTTTATTTGTATCATAACTGTACTTTTGTTTTGGCATGCTAAAATAAATATTATATATATATATATATATATATATATATATATATATTTAACAACAACTTTAAATTAATATTCGTAGAAATAAGTATGTATTAGCAAAATTAATTAAATATTACTTAAATTATCAAAATTGTTTAGTCGCACTATAGTAATGTTCACTGACAAATGTTTACGAATGTCTTATCGTAGCGGTGTCGTAAAAAATAGCATAGGTCCTACCTCGACGAGCGCTAGCGCAGCACTGAGAATTTACTTTTGGCGCAACGGAATTTATACAACTTTAAATTATTATTATTGTTTATTTTTTTCTTAGAAACTTATATTTTTTTTTTATATTTCTAATTTACAAGTATATTAACTTTATTATTATGTTTTTTTTATGCAAAAATTTCGTTGTATTTATGAGAAAATTAGAAATGATTATGGCAAAGTTTTGTTGAAATTTCAGGTTTCATTATGATCAATTTTTTAGATATTTAAGTTGAAAATGAAAAAAAGGACGATGCTGTCTCAATTTATGAAGTAATTATCAAGTTTTAGTACAGATATCATATCAATTTATGTTTGTTTATTAATGAACGACGACCCCAAACTTCTGTCTCTTAGCGTTTTTGAATAAACTATTTTAGAAATTAGGAAGACTAACAAAGAGAAAATTAACATTTCAAAGATGTAGTTTTTAAGATTAGATATCTATCTATATAATTCAGGAATAAAAATGTATATCCGACTCTTAATTTCTTAGAACCAGAACCCCAAAGACCCTGCTTTTAGGCCAAAAAATGTGAAAGGCCTCTTAACAATTGTATCCGTCATAAATTTAATCCGGTCTGTCGGGAATAAACTCCAAAATGTCATAATATTATTTAATTCACTGTGTATCACTTGGTTCATCATAAAAGATACGATTTTCCATCAAGAAATGCGTTGCATTTTTATTTAAAATAAAAATAATTGTCACAGCTAGTAAAACATAAATCTTCTAAAAAATAATTTGACTGTAAGAAAATATTATGGTAAAATTATATAGGAGCAAACAGCGCGTTGGTGGTTAATCCGAAGACGAAAACAGCTCTTGCGAATATGTTGAATATTCGTCTTCAGGGCGGCACTCCTGCGCAGGAGCACGAACCTTCCGCAGCTGGCACTCTCAGGTAACGTACTTTAAGAAATAGAAATAATCTTTATTCCAATACAAGCACTTTTGAATGTTATATTTTTTTTACTATATTTATCTAGATGATTCTTTTACAAGTAGACTTTAAGCGATTATATTCTCTTTGGCTGTTCATATAGGCTAGGCTGTATCTCCCTGCGTGGGTGGTAATGGCTTAATAATAAATGTTTTTAGTTGGTAAATTTCTTGTATTGAATATACAAGAAATTTAGGCGTTTACTATTTTATACTATTAAAACTACGGAGCGTATGTGTTACAAGAAACTATATTATAAAATGAATTCGATTTAAATCTAGTACATAGACTGGTCATTTTCAACAAACAGATAATACCAGGGTCTAATTTTTCAATTTAACAAAATAATAAAACCTAATATTACAGATAGATTATTTAAAAAATACTGTAATAGCAAATACAACATACAAAATAGTTAATACTTTATAAAAACTGTACTGAGCCTTTTTTAAATAGGCTAATTTAAAAACAGATTTACAGTTATCCTTTACATTTATTTCATAAGTATACTAATAGTAAATAAAAGACGCTTATTTTGTTTGAAAAACAGGCTGATGACTGCCGCCCACGCCGTGAGAGCACCGGCGAGACTGCTGCTCGGTCCTCAACATCATCCTCATCAAGTAAATGCTGTATATATTAGATATTCAAGTTTCTTGCCAGTTTTTCTCAACTGAAACTATCAGCAATAATATTAAAATTAACATGCTTAAGTGGCTAAAATGTGTATAAAACTTGAAATAAAACTCAAATTATCAATTCACGTACGAGTTTCAAATATTAGAACGTCTACTTAAATATTCAAAACAATTAAAGATCAAATGGTACATTTTAATCTCTTATTGATCCAAATTATTGAAAAGATGATTTTGAAATAATGTTGAATGAGTGTTATACATGTGGATTGTGTGCAGCAGGCGGGCGGCGTGAGCACAGGCGGGCCTGTGGGCGTGGGGGCCGGCGTGGTCGGCAACAAGGTGTACGCGGGCGCCGTCCGCCCGCCGCCGCCGCGAGCGCAGTTCTACGGCCACAATCCTAATCTCAAACTACCGCCAGACCTCTTCTTGCTTGGATGCGTCTTTCATATCGTATGTCTTATTTTTTTATATTTGTCATTTTATAATATGGGTAAGACGGCAGTATAACGCATTATACGGTCAGTAGATTTACACCAATACTTTAGAGATACTTATTTATTATTTCACATGTGCACAATAAGTACCTGCCTTAATCCACTTCTTAATGATTTACTTTATTTGTTACATGAACTAATAATTAGAATTCTCAGACAACACCTACCTATAATATTGGAGGATTTCTCTCAATTATCAGGTTCTGATTTGGTGACTGTTAGCGATTAAACTTGCGTTCAGTTTTTAGTAAACACTATAGTAACAACAGGCAACACGCAACAGTGACAATGAGAGGGACTCAGGAGTATAGTCTACAAATAAAGATATAAAGTTGGTTAAAAGCTTCTGTGCTCGAGTGTACGTGATAGAGTGTGCGTGTTGGTACCGTGCAGGTGGAGTACCAGCAGTCATGGGGCGCGGAGCGCGTGTCGCGGTGGGCCGACGCCATCCTGCGGCGCGGCGGCGAGGTCGAGGGCAGCTACTGCGCGCGCGTCACGCACGTGCTCTGCGAGACCCAGAAGCATGGCGTCGTCATGCAGGTATGGATGCGTACTGTGAGTTAGAGTCCGGATCGACTGTTTTACACGTACGCTGTTTCACGCGCGAATAGGCTTTCACCCAGGAAATATTTTTATGTAAATGTAGACACATTTACATAAATAATATTTCGAGAAATACCTCGCGGACGCCGCCAGCTTTCCCGCATTCTTCATTCGTGCGTGCTTTAGCGCCTTTTTCAAATCTTTTGCAACATGAAAGACGACTGACTATAAAGTCAAGACATGATTATAGAGTTATTAATAATTTATAAATCTAAAATGAGCCTGGTAAATAAAATCTGTAGAATTAAAAATGAAGCGAAAGAGTGAATATAAAAAATAGTAAGTATAAGGGCGACGTTCCTCTGGCAGGCGCTGCGCGACGCGAAGCGGTGCGTGACTGCGTACTGGCTGTCGGACGCGATGGTGCGGCGCAATGTGGCGCCGCCGTGGCAGGCGCTGCACCTGCCCGCCATGTACGGCGCGCGCGAGCGGCCCGCGCGACACCACCGCGCCGCGCTCTCCGGCTGGCGCGGCGACGACCGCGTGCGGCTCGCCTGCTGCGTGCGGCACGTGGGCGCGCAGGTACGGCACGGGCGGCTCGCCTGCTGCGTGCGGCACGTGGGCGCGCAGGTACGGCACGGGCGGCTCGCCTGCTGCGTGCGGCACGTGGGCGCGCAGGTACGGCACGGGCGGCTCGCCTGCTGCGTGCGGCACGTGGCCGCGCAGGTACGGCACGGGCGGCTCGCCTGCTGCGTGCGGCACGTGGGCGCGCAGGTACGGCACGGGCGGCTCGCCTGCTGCGTGCGGCACGTGGGCGCGCAGGTACGGCACGGGCGGCTCGCCTGCTGCGTGCGGCACGTGGGCGCGCAGGTACGGCACGGGCGGCTCGCCTGCTGCGTGCGGCACGTGGGCGCGCAGGTACGGCACGGGCGGCTCGCCTGCTGCGTGCGGCACGTGGGCGCGCAGGTACGGCACGGGCGGCTCGCCTGCTGCGTGCGGCACGTGGGCGCGCAGGTACGGCACGGGCGGCTCGCCTGCTGCGTGCGGCACGTGGCCGCGCAGGTACGGCACGGGCGGCTCGCCTGCTGCGTGCGGCACGTGGGCGCGCAGGTACGGCACGGGCGGCTCGCCTGCTGCGTGCGGCACGTGGGCGCGCAGGTACGGCACGGGCGGCTCGCGCTGCACCTGCCCGCCATGGGCATGACTGCCTGCGTTATGTGCCTTCAATACGTTGTATAGAACCACTGTTGGTTCACACCACCTATTAATAATGTGAACCACTCAGTCTTGTCTAGTATCTATAACACATTATTATTATTATTGTATTATTAATAATAAATCAGGATGACCTAACGGCAACGATAATTACATATTGTGTTTTGCCATGTAGATAACATCCTACTGGTGTATCAGCTGTCCTTAAACTATAATACGGTAATCATTTACCGTCAAATGACTTATCGGCACCATCGTAGTATAAATCTTACCTATTGCGATTCTGCCTGCTTGTTATTTCGTGTACGGTCCACAAAAGTTATTAAACGTACTAGTATATGCGTGGCTAGCTACGTACGTGGTGTACGTAGTTTACACGTGTGTAAGTGAGCGCGTGTCGTGCAGCTGACGCCGTACCTGACGCGCGACAACACGGTGGTGGTGTGTCGCCGCGCGGAGGGCGCCAAGTACCGGCGCGCGCGCGAGTGGGGCGTGCCCGTGGTCACGGCCGCCTGGCTCACCGACCTGCTGCTCGGGAACATGAGCGCGCTGCCACAGGTGACCGTACCTACACACTTTTTTCATCATCAGCTCCCTTTGCACTTACGTTTTTTAACGCACAGAACGGGCTTTCACGCAGGAAAGAATGGGCGTAGGGCGTATGAATGTAGTAGTAAAAATATAATTTTAAAAGAAAATGAACAAGAAATCCTTTCCGATTGTGAACACTCAAAGCCAACGAATTAACGAAGACAAAAAAATACAGCTATAGTGTGACGTTATATTTTATTAGCATGCATATTTTGCATGAATTGTACCGAGACATTATTGTAAAAATTCGCTTGCCAACCTCCAAGCAACTTGCTATGGAAGCTGCGTTTAGATTGTGAAGTATAGATTAGGCAGTGAAATTACCAGATACGATGCATGACATTGTGGTTCATCTTTGTAGGTGACCACGTACCGTCACATGAATCGTCAGATTATTATCTAATTACATTAAAAAAGAACTTACACTACTTACTTAAACTACTTTATATAATTGTAATAATTATTATTTGCTAATTATAAATGATGGATTATATTCTGAATTAAAAAAAAAACATCAACCTTTCACAATAATACACAATGTATCATTGCAGATCGAAAATGCCAGATATCAACAATTCAACTTGTCCAGTCCATTCAGAATGGACTACAGCTTGGTGTCACATTTAATGAGTAAGTTTTCGTCATATCAAAATATTTTATATAAGCTTGTCCAATTGTTTATAGAGCACTTTACGATTACTATTTTATATATAGAGAAGCCATAATAAATCAAACTCCAGTTTATATTTTTTCCTACAAAACAATTGAAGAAGTTTTAAATTTTTACATGATCTTGCATAATAGTAAAAGGCAAAATTAATTAATGATTTTATTTGCATAAATCTATTATGAAATTATTAAAAATCCATTTATTTAATTTCCGTTGCCTGATTGTTCTCATCACTATTTGAATGTTTTTTTCTCTATAGCTTGCTTGCCAGTGTCACGACTTACTGGTAATCAATGTGTAACAATAATTTAATGAACACATTTAAATGTCTATAGATTATAATATAATATGATATATTTAAATGTTGTACCATTTTTAAATAATGTAATGCAATTGTTAAACTTTCTGCCTACCTGCCCTTATTGGTTAAGTAATGTAATTAAATCTTTCTGCCTATCTGTTTTTCTTTATTGCTTATTGCGGTTTGCTCGAACACGTGAACTGTTCTATGTATGAGTTACTTTCAATAATAAGCTTTACTGCCGCAGTCAGAGACGTTTCTTAAATAATCGCTAATGATTATCTGTTGATGAATGAGGCATTCCCCCAGAGTTACAATTTAATAATTCATTAGCTAATGACCTCTTTAATGGAGAATAATAGAGCAGTGAATATATGATTCATGCTATCGACTGCAATTGGATAAAGCAGTAGTATATAAATTATATTATTTAAGTATTAAATAGATTTATCTACTTGCAATACTTAACTCCTTTTTATATTTTCCAATAAAAGAAAACAATAGTGATAAAACTGACAACGATAGAAGTTTCCATTTCTTTATGTTCATGTACATACATAGCTGTCTTCCAATATGATATTTTTAAATCTAGACTAAAAAGTTGCTTAAGTAACAATTAGACGTCTCCAAGTGCGACGGTTACTTTACGACTTTGTATTAACGACTTCAAATTGTACAGACGGCTGGAAAATGCCAATCAACATAACGCAAGAGTCAAACGAGCGCGCGAAGCGAAGCGCTGCTGCGGCCGGACTCGCCCCGCGCCGCGCCAAGAAGCCGCGACTGGAGCCCCCGCCCGCGCCCCCCGCGCCCCCCGCCTCGCCCGCCGTGGCCGGCGCCGCGCCGCCGCCGCTGCAGCTGGCGCCGCGCGTGCTGTTCTCCGCGGTGAGCGCCGCCGACCACGAGCGGCTGGCGACCATAGTCAGGTGCGTGCACGCTTCTCCGACCCACGGTGTTCTTATTGTCGTACTATTCTAATGCCGTCGCAGCTGGCCTTTACGGCTTTACCGGACGATAGGAAGCGCGTGCTGATGGTACTGCAAACACGCGGACGGATATGGAGCGGCTGAAGGACGACTCCCGCCTGACGGATACTACTTTAATCTGAGCACCGCTAGGGGTTAGAACCTCGGATCAGGCCGTCGTAAACTTCCCGTTTGAATTGGACGGGGAATCGATCGGAGGGGTTTCTACAGTGTGTGAAGCAGTAATCGATTTTTTTTTTCAGACTATAATACTCACTTTGTGCAGTCAACTGCATCCAAGGTTTTTTGTCTCAATGATTTCTCTTGCTCAATAGATTCTCTCTTATTCATTCCAAATATTCAAACTAGTGTAACATTCCCTTCCTAATCTTTGTTAATATTATCTAAGCTATTTGACTGTATTACCAACTGTGCCACTTACCTACAAGATAGTGTTTATAATCTTTTATATTGTATTGTTTATTTAACCACTTCTGTAGCTATGCTTCGAACAAAGTTACTTAGTTTAGTCACCACTTATTATTCAATCAATGTAATATTACTATCGCCAGATTGTTCTCATTTTGTATTGGCATTTTATTTAATGGTCGATGTCTCCCTTGCAGTGATAAAACAAATGAAACTGATGAAAATGCAAACCATATTCAAGACGAAACCGTTTGAGCCATTGTTTGTAAATTATATTTTTCCTACTAAGATGTAGTTAATATTTATGTTTGTAGATGCAGTCCGTTTCAATAGAATTTCTAGAATAAGTAAAAAAGCATTTTATATTAAAAAATATTGTATAAGCAGTCACTAAATGTAAATAGTGATACATATATACAAATCTTGATGATTTTAATTTCATATATTTACTTACTTTTTGTATCCGAGAATTGTGATCAAAATGTATGACTAGAAAAACTCTTATATGTTGAAGGTCGCCAGGGATATGAAAAACATGATTCAATATAGTCTTAATAATCAAATAGATTACCGCTATATATAAAAACTAAATACAGATATTGGAATGATTTTATATTAATTTTAATTTTTACAATATCTATGAAACTTAGGTTATTTTTGCAACAGTCATATGTATAGATATACTAGTACAAACATTCAATAGATTAATCCAAATATTCAATACATTATTGATTTTCTATCGGCATCACTAGACCGTCTATGGCCTTAGTAAACCTGTTTATTTATCTTTTTTAGTCAATTCTATTGAAACGGAGTGTAACAAATGCCAGTGCCGTGTTATTATTATTATATAAGATATTTTCAATCATACATTATAATATAGTGTTCCATGGTGAAAGCATTCATTAAATATATATATATATAATCATAGTAGTTCATTGTGTTGTCCAAATTTCCAAGATTTAAATAGTTATTTAATTACGGTGGGATTATATATTTAGATGGCAGAGGGTGCAATAGCAGAGTAGTTTATTGGGATATAGATAATTTCTGTCTTGATCCCCAGTAACAAAAAAGTTAAGGTGGAACACTACACTACTGTTTCGGTACACATTAACTATGTTCATTTTGTCTCTCATATTTCTAAAGCTGTTCAGTTTGTTTTTTATTTGTTTATTTACATATTCAGATATCTTTAATGGCAATTATTACTCCACTTAAGAATATATAAGATGGATATACACTTTTTTTGTGGTAGTTAGTAGTAGTTTAGTACCGGTAATTCCTTTTAAAAGTTTTGTTGTCTGTTTTGATAGTTATATATCAGCGCGGCAGATGTGTGAAATATAAATTAAAAATAAAGAAACCGAGTTGCTAGTCACTGTGGGTATACAGTGACTAGCAACAGTAAGTTAGATAGGCACTAACTTACTGTTATATTATTTTAGTTCGTATGTGTTTAAATCACATTCTGTGGGATATAGTAGACAAAGCAGGAAGAGCATGCAATGATTATAATAAGTGAAATACAATTAAAATGCATGCACATCAAAAACCAGATCACAACGCCAATATTTGACACTGTCAAAATTGTCTCAATCAAAACCTCCTGTCATAACATTTATATGAATATAAATATTCAATCATTGATTTGCAGACAACTCGGCGGTTCCGTAGTCACATCACCAACCGAAGCCACCCATTTAGTTATGGAGAAACTCGTTCGGACTTGCAAATTAGTGAGCTGTCTCGTCACCGTCAAGCATCTGATATCTACCGAATGGGTCCTAGAGAGTCAGAGGATAAACAAATTCGCCGACGAAGCTAAACACGAGTTGAGAGACGAAGCATTCAACAAGATGTTCAAATGCGACATTTCTGAAGTGTTACTTTGTGGTGAACAAAGGAAAAGACTCCTCGAAGGTGTTACGTTCTTCTTAACGCCATGTGTGAAGCCCTCGAGAGCAGCGCTGATAGAAATGATCGAGCTCTGCGGAGGCAAAGTTGAAAAGAACCGGCGTTCCTATGTCTCTATTCAAGAGATGCACAATCAAAAACCCTTCAGTTATCTAGTTCTCACTGTGCCAAATGACTTGCATCTAGTGTATTACCTGCTCCAATCAGAGAAGACGTTAAACGTAGTGTGCAGCACAGAAGTCGTGCTATCTGCTATAATGAGACAAAAACTGGAAGTCGAAGACTTTTTGGTTAAAATAGATTAGATATATAGTACCATAGTGTTCTATTTTCCATGTTATGAACGTTTTATTTACATTGAAGTTAGTTTTACTGTCAGAACAAATAATGTATTATTTCAATTGTTCTTGAACACAAGCAAGACAATACTGCAATCATAAAATGTGAGGACCATTCAATGCCTTTCCTTGAATCATGTATTAAAAAGTGCCTAACTAGGTAGTCGGAAATTGAATGTTGAATAACAGTTATATGGATAATATCTATTCATTTTAAATGCGGTAGGAAAAGGCAATTATTTTTTTACTCAAACCATTTCACGTGTCAGTCCGGATGGATTCTCAATTTCCACTGGGATTCTAGTACATAGTAGCTTATCTCATGTACAAATTATATTTATTCAATCTCATTCCCTTGTAGTATTCCCTAAGATAGTTCATTGATGTGACTTATACTAAATAAGAGGTCGTACCTCAAGATCTTTTTAATGCATTTAAGAGTAAAGTCCACAGGGCTAATTGTATTTTACCTTTTTAACTTTTCTTTTCGAATCGGTCAGTTTTTCACGACCATTTTTATGAACTAAGTATTTTATTGAAGCTCGTGTATGAAAATTAACAAAATTTATTGGTTGCATCTTGTTTTATTATTTGTTAAAAAATATAAAGTGATATTATAAAACTGTAAATTCACCTAATTTTAAGCAGATCTTTTGGAATTTTCTCAGTTATATGTAAATATGCATTCTATATTTAGTAAGTATTTCTATGTATTAATAATATATGAGAAAACAATGAATATACGAACTGTTTCTAGTAGCTTGCCATTTCATTTCTATAACGTTAACCAAATTTAAATTACCAAAGAATACAGTCTAATGATCGCCTATATAATTATAATTAATATGCAGGTACGAAAAAATTTAAACTTAGCTTGTGTGTTAGCGTAGAAATGCAATGTTCTTAAAAAGGTTGACTCATCATTAGAGACTTAAGGAAAATAACACCTGTTACTTTTAAGAGATACAACACAAGTGCGAATACCGGAAAATCAGTAACTTATTTCTTTTCTTAACAACTCAGAATGTAGAATATATTAAACGAATTAGTAGAAAATAAAATTGGTTTGAGCATATATAACGATTTCGATTTTTCGGTAGGTCGGAAAATATGCAGGACAGCGAACAAGTGAACTATAAAATAAACTATACACCTATATAACAAAATCCGTGCCTAGGAACTTAAATGCTAATGCACAGAATTTAGACGTACGTATTAGACGAATAATAACCAGCTGAAACTTTTCTTTCGGGTTGTGGCATTCCACTTAGTGCTTTGAGCTTATGTTTGTTACGAGTCAGTAACGTGCTGCTATTCTGTGATAGGCTCTTAAACTAATTAGTCTTTGGCACTAAATTTGTCTTAACCATGAAAGTTTCGTAGGAATTTTCAATATTAAAATTAAATAAAAATTCAATAACATAATATATTTTATTTGACGCCATAAATAGCAAGAATTTTGTTATAGAACAAAATCACAAATGCAACATCATTCTATGGACTACTCGAATTTCATAAACATTCATACTTTAACTATTGGAATTCACATTCATATAAAGTCTTTAATACATTACTTATGATATAGGAATACTTTAATCTCTTAGACCAACATATACATATAAATAATACGTGAGATTACGATTTAATGATCGCTTCGTACGCTTGGAAAATGCAAGTAGCGACCTCTACGGTACGGGACTTGAGACTAAGGGTCGCTTCTGGGTTGCCAGGTTGCAATTTTAATTCAAGAAGTACCCAGATGTTATTGGTAAGTTTTAGAGACTGGTACAGCATGTCTTGGCCTTCTACATTCCTCTTGGCGATGGTGAAGATGTTGTTGAGGGTCATCTTCTGCGCGATGGAGTCGGCGGTGCCTACAACGTTGGACAGTGTGTGCTGGACTTCGTTGGCAGCGGGGATCTCCTTCCAGGTGGATAGGAACACCCGTTTATCCAGTTGGCCGTCTTCCGTGAACAGAATGTGTACTGGGATCAAGCATGCGAAGTAAAACACGTCCACGTTGTTCTTTATTGCCACCTGAAATGAAAAATTTAGCTTTAGCTTTAACAACATTAATAATTTCAGGTACACTGTTTTTTTTATTTAAAACTTAAAACAGAGAGCAAGTGCATAGTCAGACAGTCCCCATTGCCAAATATATACATAGTACCAATGACTATGGCTATATAAGATTCACAGTAATTATAAAACTATAAAATGATAATATCTATTTTAATTTTGTGACATACATTTTGAATTTATGTAAACATACATCACTCATTTGTATACAGCCACAACATTTAAACATATAAAAATAATAATGACTTAGTTAGTGCTCTAGCTGAGTATGATATAGCTCTAATCTAACATTGCGGAGTGTTTTTGGTACCTGTAGGTTGTTGAGCGGGTCCATCCTCTGCACGGGCCCGGTGGTGGCCAGCGCGAGCGGAGCCTCCGCCGCCGCCCCCGCACCTAAAGCTCCCACAACAAGCCCACCCGCCGGGGACACGCCGAAACTGCATTAATAAAGTATTTTATGTAATATACCGATTGCAAAGAATGTGAGAGTTAGCAAAATGGACTAATGACACCGACGCTAACAATATATGCGTTTCTTTCTGAAAACCATCGTGATAAGTTATCTCATGATTGGCTAGCTGATCTAACTCATATTAATCTGATCATTCACCACTGGTGCCGCGACAGCGTAAATCATTAGCACTGGCGAGCGCACAATTCCGTTATCATCAATAAAAAAATATACCGATTGCAATGTTTACCATTACTACCAAATTATTTATTAGTGTTCTATACAAATATGTTTTATTATTATTATTACGAAACTCCAGTGCATTTAATCTCACCTAGTGTTCGGTAAGGAAGCGGTCTACGTTGCAACACAGAAGCTCAACTAGTACACCGATTTGATAGACATATACATTGCAGATTTGTAAAACCAAGCAATTTCAATTTGTTTTTGTTTTAATAAATTTTGTTGTAATGTATCATAAATTCATGTTTTTTGGGTTACATATTAAGAATTCTATACTTTACTAGCACGGCACCTAAAATTACTCACTAAACTATATCACAAAATTTTCGAATACTCTAGTAAATTATACTAACTGTAAATAGTGTTAAGTATTTTTATGAATAATCCTGAACTATGTACTATTCTCACCTGTTTTTGTTGAGCTGTATCGCGAACCCGCTCATTGGCTGCATTGCCTTGTTGGTGAATGTCATCTCCATACGCGGTTGTCCATTTTGACGGCTGAATGTACCCCAGATCTCGAGACCTAGGCAATAAAAATATTGTCAGAATTTAAGTTAATGGTTTAAAATTCCATTCTTTAGTCAAAGTTTCTTTATAACTTTGTGAGCATTGTATATATTAACATAATATCTACTCTGGAATAATCTGTTTGAAACAGTGAGTGCTTCAAGAGTTTACTTTATCCGCTCTTTCTATTTACAGCATTAGCACAGGTTTCATAATTAATGAAATGCAGAAATTATTCTTTGGCTCCATGAAAAATCCTTATAGTTAGAACTATTCAAGACAGGGTCGTATAACTGAAAAATAAAGACTTTCGATTTTATTTACATTTAGTGCTTACAACAGCACACCAAACGAAGAATCAATGAAAAACGCAGCAGAGTTATCTAGTACATTTAAGGTACGCACCTTTGCCCTTGTCTGCGGGCAGCCAGCACTGCCGCGGCGGCGAGTAGCAGGCGGGCGCGGCCGACACGCCGAAGATGTCTCCCAGCAGCCCGGTGGTGGTGCTGCTGCCGGCCGCCTCCACGCCGCCACCCAGCTGATAGTTGGTTGGTTTTAAGACAACATTTTTATTGTTAATAAAGTATTATATAGGTAATGTATGGTTATTAAAGGTACCTCTTTCGACGTTTCGACTAGGTTGCACTAGCCATGGTGATGAGCTAGCTGCTACTGCTACCTATTGTCTGTTTTTTAAACCTCGGAGACTAAATTGACAGGTATAATATTATTAAATAACATTATTATACAATTAAATTTTATATACAATACCTTCATTTACCATAAAATTACTCGTCTTAAAACCTGTTACGCGAAAACGCGTAAGTGTACAAATAAGTAGTGCAAAGTCATTAGCACGAAACGATGTTCAGTTAGTATATATTATACATTATGATTTGGAAAACATTAAAGGTCTCGAACATTTCATCAAATCAGTTCAGTAGTTTGCTTCAGTTATGTTAGTAATACCATAATATGCTATGTATATACGCTTGCTGAATACTAAAGGATTGTCAAAAACTACATTTGTTCGAAAACGCATTCTATATATTATTATGAAATTAGTTTTTTTTTATGACTAACATATGTTTTTATTTCTTACTAGTAATTAATATTAAAGTAAACATAATTATACTTACAAGAACGTCAACACCGCTAGCCAGTAGGTCAAGGTTTGATGCCGGTGTGGGAGCAGGGGGGCCGCCGATATCCATAGATAAGAGATCACCAATCAATGACTCCTGAAAAAATATCAACAGTTAGTATTAAAAATAATCTACACATTTACAAATAGTACTTACCAGGATAATGTAAAAACCGCCCGATGTACAAATCTCAGACAAATTATTACAAGAGAAGAAATACTCAAAATAAAACCAGATATTTAGCCACTTATAAAGCACCAGCTGATCTTTCTTAAATTGCTCTCAAAAGGAACGAACTTAGATAAGTTTATTCCTTTTGAAAAATACTTACACTGAATAACCTATAACTTCGGTATTCTGAAGAACTGTGATATTTTCTTGTTAGAGCTCTGAAGGGGCCCCTTAGATAAATCCCGTTCAATTCAAACGGGGATTGAAATTACAACGACCTAAGCTACATAAAGTTAGAATCCCTAGCAATGCCCTCAGAATAAAGTCTTATCTGTCAGACAGAAGTTAACCTTTAACCGCTTCATAAGTCCTTCCGCAGGTTTGGAGTGTCACTACACTAGCCCCCTATTGTTCGATGGAGGTGTAAAACCCAGTTATCGCCAAAAGACTCAGAATATTTGGAAAAAATAATGGTTCGAACGGGTCATACAGGATGATCTGCCACTTGCAAATTTTTTCATAATATTATGTGATGAAAAACATTCGTCATTATTATAATTGTCGGTAATAGTGTCGTACCTGGTTGGGTATGACGGTAGGTTGTGGTGCGTGCGGGTGAGAGTCGTCAGTGACAGCGCCGCGAGCCGGCAGAGACTTGCGTACACCCGCGCCTCGGCCTGCAAATGTACACAACACACATTTATATCAACAAACCACTACAGGGTCTCTGGCAGCCTTCGGGCGACGGGTTCGATTCCTCGCACGGTACAAATATTTGTATTCGTGAGTTCTTAATCTTAAAAAAATATAAACGTAAAAGTTTGTGAGTATGGATGTTTGTTACTCTTTCACGCAAAAACTACTAACGGATTTTGGTGAAACTTTACAGTAATTATTGCTTATGCATCAGAATAACACATAGGTAATATTTTTTATTGTAATTTATATATTGAAATTTAACACGGGTGAAACCGCGGTCACAGCTAGTTTATAATAAGAAGAAAAATAAAGATGGATGGAAGAGGATATACATCCATATTATGCTAGTAAACAACTTATAAACTATGTTAGTAAATTACAATATCTATCCTAGTTATTTCAATTTATACATTTATTTAAATAAAAAAAAACATACAAGATAACTTGCTTGTCTCGTATGCATGCATTTGTATGTATGTATAAAACCATCCTCAATCCAACAATCCTCACCTTCAACAAATGCAGTTGGTGGTTTATGATATACGGAGGCGAGCGAGCTGATGTGGCAGATGAGCTCGTCGAGGAGTGTGGGCTCCAGGAGATCAGTCTCCTCGGAGATGAGGGGCTTGTCGGCGAGTACCACCTCTTTGGCAGCGGCAGGGTCGGTGGACAACAACCGCCAGTAGATAAAACCGCGATCCCTGGTTAAATAATAATCAAATGTTCAAAAATCTATTCTATCTATATATGTTTTAATGACCCTGTGTTAGAATAAAAAAAAAATCACACAGCGCCATCTAGTCCCAAACTAAGAGCTTGTGGTGTGAATACTAGACGATTGTTAGAAATACTTAAATATTTTTTTTTATAAATACATACATAATATACATATATATATTAGAAAAAAAGAAACCCAGATCGGTCGATACTCAAATGTTTGGACGTGTGAGGAATCAAACACGAAATCAATGCGTTACATTGATTACATGAAAAATAACAACACAGACACTAAAATTAATGTAAAACATAATAATGACAAGAATAAAATAAAATCTGTAAATAGATTCAATATGGGAACCTAACTATTTTTAAAGTCGTTAGATAAATGTGACGACGTATACCTGAGATCGGGATTATCAGAATCCTGTGTCGCAAGGCTGAGCACATGTTGGACGAGCTCTTGCGTATCGGCAGGTCGTTTCAAGAATAACTTCACAACTGCAGTCAGCAACTGAAGTTGTACCTGTTTCAAGCATAGAAACTATTAGCCTGGTGACTGATTTCATTGTAATCCTTCACTGGAAGCCAGCTAGCATATTCTATTAAAGAAATAGTCATCAATATTCCATTTTCCTCAATCAAAAAATTAGTGGCATAGATTACAATAACAAATATCACTTTCCATCTGGTAGGAATTCAAATTATTAGTATCCTTTAGTAGAAATAAAAGAAACACAATGCAAACAACATACAGAAACAGGCGACATATTTCGATTTAATTATTGAATAATCTAAATATTAACCAAACAGCATGTTTTAAAATTATAAACAAAAATACTTTTTTATAATTTTAAAACACAATTTTGAATATTAAAATAATAAAAGTTATCTATACCTGGGCGTTTTCATCATGGAATCCTTCAAGGAAGGAATCTAGTAATTCATCAGCATTGTCGATACGTTCCGCATACTCGCCCACTATCCATACCTGAAAATTTAAACATAGACATTTATACAAATTTCCGACGGGAAAATTGATAACATAAATCCAAACAAGTACTACTACTAAATTCATATATTACTATTTATTCTGACATTCTTAGGTTCTTTTGCGTTATGAACGTTTTTTAAAACCAATATGTATAATCAAATTAATGTCATTTTAACGACAAATAAAATTTAAATATATTATTGTTAAGTAATAAATTAATACATAAACTGTACTTAGGTCAATAAACTTTCTAATTATAAATAAATGGACAGACCGACAAGGTCAAAAAAAATACAAAATAAGTACCCTTAAAGTGAACAATACTCGTAAATACGTAGTGTATGAGTATTACATAGAACTATTCGAAAAAAATACCTTAATTTTTTCTACAATATACAACCTATTTTCACGTTACATTTCAATAAGATGTGTTCAATCGTTTAGTTAACTAACAGAAGACATTTATTCGATCGTATTAATATAATTTAAATGCCAAAAACTCACCATCGAAGCCCTGGCTTCAGGTTCATCAAGGGTGTCCAAGTTCTCGCACAGTGTGCTGATGATACTCTCGTATTTATTGGGATACTTGCGGAAGATGTCCTTGATTACCACGATGGCTTCTTGGACCACATAATTAACCTTCGTCTGAATCAATTCAAGCAGAGTAGACACGCAGCGTTCAGCTGACGGCTCCACCTGATATCAAATTTTAGCTGTTGTAGACCATCACAACATATCGATATCGCATTGTTAGGTATGCTTCCTTCTCGAGAAAAAAAAATAAAGAATAGATATCAAATTCTGCTTGTAATGGAATGAACCTTAATACTTTACCTATTACAGACATTTTATAAAAGAGGTATGTACGATTATGAACTATTATTTTAAGTGCTTTCCAGTAGTATTTATGACGTAGTCGTCGGACGTGTGCGTAGTACAAAAATAAGAAAGCAGATACACAGACTTAACCGCTCATAATATCTACCCTAATATGCTTTGAAACATACTGCAAAAACAGGGAAAATGTAATTCAAACGAAAATGCTGGTTAGTTAATAATAACTTACCTTGATAGCACAACGGCCTATAGCTCTGACAGCCTTCCTCACGAAGTCGACGTCCACCTCAGTAGCATACTCCTTCAGTTCACCGAGAACTTGTGCGATGTTCGCCTGCGACGCCAGCCGGATCATGATGTCCAACTTCTCGAGTTTCACATAGATTGGGTCGTTGTACTTCACGAAAAATACCTACACAATTATAGGAAAGATATACAGACATCGAAAACCTAAACTCCAGGATTTCATTTAAATAATTAGTCTTAGTCTGCTTTTACACCCATAAAGGCCCAAAAGAGATGCTAAAGAAAGATCAACATACGTAATTTCTGCTTTTAAAGTTTTCCTTATTTATAGTCTTTTTACCATATTGTAAATTTATATGAATACGTAAACTTCGAGTGCGTATGTGCTTAAATAAGGGAAGATTACAACTATAATAAAATGGAAAACTGCGTCATTGCAAATTTTTTATTAATTTAAAGACAAAATGTGAATAAAGTTGATAGATATATCACATAGATGTCTTCTATGGAGACAAATAAAATAAATTAACAAACAACTTACTTTCATTTCATGCTTTAGGATTTCGGGCCGCTTCTGTACAACGAGGTTGATGTTTCTGAGCGCCACATATTGCACTTCTGGCTCGGCGCTGAGCAGCGTGACAAGCGGCGGCGCCAGCTTACGTGACAGCGTGCTCACCAGCTCCGTGTCCTCCGCCACCATTTCCATTAGCTTCATCAGCACCTGGACATCATTAAGAGTTTGTGATACTTAATTCATAATTTAAGAGCTTTTAAGTTACAGATACGACACGACTCCAACTTTTTCCTTGTGATATTAGTCTTGTACCTATCTGCAATGTGTACTAATCTTGCTATGTAGATATAATAAAAACATACCAGTAGAGGAACATACTTTATTGGACAATATACTATACTATTAGACCTATATATAGACCAATAAAGTAAAACGATAGAACTTTTTTGGTTACTTGAATGCTACTCAATTAATGAACTATTTCAATCTATGAGGTATGTGTAACTGACATATGTAGTTAGAAATTGAATAAGTAGAATTAGTTAGAATAAATTAGAATTTGAATACTCAATCATGGCATAATTTTAAAAATAATTTATACTAAATAATATGCAAATAAAATGTAAATATAATTCCGTTGTTTTATATATTTGAAAATTAAACATGTATGAAATTGCGAAAATTAAAGATGTCTCTAAAATTGAACTGGAGTAAACTTTTAAAACTTAGGGTGTATGGGTGCCAGTAATACCTTGACGGCGGATAGTACAACAGCGGCGTTAGCATGCGCAAGTCGGGGCGTGATTCGTTCACAGATCGAGTGCGCCTCACGAGCATCCCGCGGGCAATAATTGGACAGCGCATCCAGGATGAACACCTGACCCCACTCAGTACATTCATTCAACGCAGTCAGCAACTTATTGATAGTGGACGCGTTCATTTCTGTGTAACACGTGAAGGTTATATAATAATGGCATTCCTAAGTAGGAACTGGGAGGCTGGAGATAAAATATTAAATTGTCAAGTATTATTAAGTATTGAATAAATCTAAGTGGATAATCTCTGTAGTGTAATACTTATCTTTGTTTTTGTGGTCCTTGACTCATTTATCAGTTCAGCGTAATAAAGAAATCAATTTTAATAGACTTTAATATCTACAAATTCTCGCCTACAATAATATTAAAAAAAATCCTAAAATACACAATATTATTACTATAATTAAATGGGTTTTAACAAAAATATTTTTTTTTAAATAAAGTTATTTAAATAAGTAAGTACTTAGGTAAATCAATTGGTGACCACTGCTAGTGCAACCTAGTCGAAGAGTCGAGAGTGGTAAATGCCTTTATTTACCACTAAATTATTGATGTTAACGCCAGTTTGTTAATGAGTACTAAACGAGAAACTTTAAAAATAAGTAATACACAACATACCAACTAAAGGCTGCCCCGAAACACTAGCTTCGTTTATTTCAGATAAGGCGGCAACTGCATTCGCAACCACCATTGGGTTGGAGTCGCTGAGTAAATCCTTTAGTTGGTCTAGAAAACCCTGAAGTAAAAATATTATTTATAAAAATCTTGTCTGAAAACTGATGTTTCTTGTTAACAAAAAATATCATTGTTCATTGACTGAGGCTTATAATTAAAATTTTTAAAGAATAAAATTACCTGATCTTCGACCATACTTGATGATATATCATACAATTTCGCGACACAGACAGCAGCCGTCTTCCTCACATATGGATCTTCATCTTTAAGGCACTTCCTCAATGGCTCGCAAAGGTATTCTGTGATCTTGTCCACTCGAATGCAGCCCATCGTTCTCACCGCCAACGCCCTTATTAGCGGGTTCGAATCCTCGCAGTCCTGGAGGTGTTCAAGGTCGTTTGCATTCAGTTTTATATAAAAAGAAAAGAGAAGCAACACATCAATAATACTGAAGCAGTTAACTATTAAGCAGGTAGTCTAACCAGGGGTATTGTAACGGAGATATGAAGTAAATTATAAATATCAACACTACATATTGTCAGTGAGAGTATCCTTATAGTGAGTGACTGCACTTGCCCATTATTGTTGATATTACATTTGTAAGCACTTTATATTATTAAATTGGTAATATTAAATACCTAATATACAGGTAATGTATTAGGTATTCCATATTATAACAACTTAACAACCACTAATTCAATTAAATAATATATTTGACTTTGTATTATATGGGACACAGTCACCTAGATACATCAATATAATAATTGCATTAAATTATTATTTTGTTGACATTTTTCTTGCATCGGTTTCATCCCTTGGCTCATTATATGATAATCAAGAAAATCTATATAGTCATCATAACTTTTATAAAATTTTTTTGTGTGTAATATATTTTTTTTTTCTCTCAAGGGGGGAATATCTATTGGACACAGTCACCTAGATACATCAAAATAATAATTGCATTAAATAATGTCTAGTAAGACAAATCCAATATTGTCTACTAGGCTCTGCTGTGTCTAAACTGTGTCACCCCACCTTACATTTTCCTATTGTTATTCAGTATATAAGATCATTATTTCTATGTACATATGGTCAGTTATCATCTGTAATATACATAGTCTCGACCAATAACATCGTATTATTCACCCGCAACATATTACAATCTAATCTATGTGGCTCTCTGAAATATAGAGGCAATGATAATTATAATAATTAATTGGAATCTATGGATCCACCAACTGGGATGATAAGAGCTATATGACTGTTATAATTATTATTAGTATTATTAGAATTATAATAGTCATGTAACTAACTCTGAAGATGTACTAGAATCACATTGTTGTGTGCATGATATATGAAAATACAACATGTGCCACAACACAGTATAATATGATTATATTATGTAAATATGTGGGGCACCTAGGTAGTTGCCTAATCCAGTTTACTCTATGTATCAAATATTGCTTAAGATAAAACAGTCCTGAACTAGTTAAGATAGACAATATGTAGTGTTCTAATTATACATTTTAGTAATCAAACAGTAAACATAACATAACAGTAAATATATATATATAATTATAGATTTCATAGTTTGGACAATTCCTGTAGTCCTGGCTAAGCTATAATAATACTGTAGAATCCCACTATTCTGTTAATAATTCAATTAATTCTTGGAAAAATGTGGTGTGACTTACATGTGCTAAGTATTAATAAAAATATTATAAGTAATTATTTACTCTTTTTAAATTATGAATTAGTTAATATGTTATAATTAAATTACATAAAAAACTTATTAAATATGGATATCTATGTATAAAAAGCTCTAATATGATACCAGTATGGTCTAGAATTTAGTGCAGGGTAAGACAATCAGATTAGAGAGGTTCTACTGCATGATATTGATTATAAGGGTAGCAGATGTGCTATTGAATACATAATGAGGCATGGTTTTCATAGATATGTCATATTCAAATTAGAATGCATAGAATTTACTTATTGTTATGTAGATTTACACATCTATAACTGTGCTAGTGAGAAAATAGGAATTAATTTGTGTATCTCATGCAAAATATTACATATTAACATGCAGGATAACCTTTATTTAAATTTATTAGGATATAAATTAATTAATAATTACAGGATTGTTGTGCTTCAATCACAGGTTAAATGTAATCAAATGTGTAAATCTACAGATGGATGAGCTGAGGTTTTGCTGGATCGTTTGTTTACCTTAACAAGCTGGTATGTTGGTAGATCCTTCCACCCATCATAATATGGTACAGTAGACATTAAAACGATAAAAAAGACAAGTCACACACACAAATAACTACACTACTCGTAGTTATTGATTAATATTTCGATTATTTTCAAATTAGATAAGCTATAGTAATAATATATTTAAATCCCCATGCTCACTTGAACCAATAGTACTGTGCTGTCACAGAAATCGTACCCAAGTTTATATTTGTCAATATTTTCCAACATGCATTTTAATTACAAAGTCACAAAGAAAAAAATTATAATATCTAATATAAGACTTTTCAGTACATTAAAAAAATACTTATCAAATTATCTATTGTGGCAACTATATATATTACTAAATGTTCTTCAAAGAATATTCCTAATGAATATTAATATCATACAAGGTTCAAAATTATCATATTTTGATAAATCACTTCTGTACTCCATTTAAAAGATCTATATAAAATGGAAATTTCAATTGAATCATAGTGCAGAATTAAATCAGACTATTATAAATATTGCCTAATGACCCTATGATGGATTTATATCTAACACTAGTATGTACTGAATAGCCTTACAACATTAGTTGAACTCATAAGGTCACAGATACGTACCTTTACAAATGTGTTGACTGCCATAATAGCCATATCAGGTTGTGATTTGGCATAATTCATTAGATATAAGTACACCAATTTCTTGAGTTCTAGATTGTCCGTTTGCATGCAGTTCACAACATCAGGGAACAGTGCCGAGACATCTTTTCCAACTGTCATTGAGGCAATAACCTGATGAAAATTATTCATAAAGATGAAATCCTAAATTATCTTAGATAAGTGAAATAACACTTTTTGAAAATCAATATAATAATATAGATAAATTATAAGTAGACATGTATAAAAGTTACATGATACCTGTATCGATACATCAAATTAAGGTAGGAGCCGAACTATTAAGAAAACAACAACAAATACTTACCAATATGCACATAATTTAGAGTTTAGATGTAATAATTTAAGAATTAAAACATTATGTCGTAGATGGTAACTAGAATATATCTTATAATTAATTACAACTGCGGTAACAATAGTACTGGGTATGTATTAGGTGCGTACCTTCTTTACAGCCTCTTTTTTCTTTTCTTTCTTGTCGCTGTTCAGTTCGGACTTTAGTTCGAAAATTTCTCCTTTCTTAGTAGTGGTGAAATACTTGGAGTCTGTCATTGTGCTGATATATTAACTTTTTCAAACTCTTAAATCGTATTACTTTAAAATTACGCCCTTCCTAGAAATCGATATGTGAGAAATTTGATAACTTAGAACATACTGTTGTATAGAGTAAAGTTAAGTAAATTATTCAAAGCGATTATAGCTACCTATTTTAAATAAATATTATGAACTTGGAATGTAATTTACTATAAAAAATTATAAATACGTTGAAAATACTTGTAATAATCAATAGATAAGTTTTTTTGACAGAAACTGGGGGCGTAAGTAGAAAATATTTTCCACAGATCAGAAAAATTAGAGTTGGTCGGTTGTCAAACGAGAACGAGTCATTTATATATCGATACTTCTCGATGTATAAAAAATATCGATATAGTATTCATATATCAATGTTTAAATATATAAATTATATTTTATCTTTATAAAAATTTCAAATTTATATTTATTATTGTAAAATGTTACTAATAGTTTATTTTTTATTTTATGGATGATAATGGAATTATGCATCGGTAACGATTTACGCTGGCGGAGCACCAGTAGAGGATGATAAAATGAGAATGAAGTCAGGTCAATTAGCCCATCTTGGCAAAAGGCACTTCAAAATAATGATAAATAACGACATTTTACTTCTGGCATCCCTAACTTAATTGTCGTCGTAGCAATGTTGCCGTACTAATACTTAAAATATTCTAGTTATTCATTATTTAATTTGATGAGAATGCTAATAGAAGTGTACTATAAAACGTTGTCTGAGTATGTACATCTGGCTCACCGATCTTCTTCTGCCATTTTTCTTGCTTTTTAAGCTCTGTTTCTGTTGTCAGCGTTACTGGTGATGGCAAATAAATCACAAGATAAGGAACATGACATCTTAGTGTTCGGACTGGCAATGCAGCAGTGGTTTCACATGGTAATGTTCGAAATGGTTTTACAAATATAGATATTACCACTTACCATCAGCGTCAGCATCTGCAGCTGGTTTACCATTACAAAGAAATTAATAATTACAGTTTGAATGTTTTGCCATTTCTTATCAATGAAATCGTCATACAGATTAAAATCTGTATGTAAAGAATGGATCATAAAATAACATTATAGGAAAAATAAATGACACGGGTTGGTTTATTTACAGTTTATTTATATTTCTATTTCTCAGCAAAATAACAGTGGGAATTATAGTTATCAACGATAGAATAATTATTAAATTGGCAACAATTTCGTAATGAACCAAAAGAGAGGAGGATATTTTTTTCATTTTCAGCCGCTTCATTATCATTATTGCATCGGCATCGGCACAAAATTCTCAAACATAACAGTTTAAGAATCTAGTGCCGATTAATTAGCCAATTTTAAAGTATTTAATCCTCTTCATTTAAGCTGTGCGTCGATGAATTAGTCACGATAAGCGACATTATATATTGTTAAAACATTTCATATTTCTGGAGTAACGAATGATACAAACTTATATATTTCTGTTACTTTATTAAATAATTTCATTTTACAACCAGTATGCAGTAACATTTCATCACATTATCATACATTACACATATTATAGTAATTTTTTATACTCGTGGTTACAGACACATATATATAAATAGAATCGAATGATAAGTAATGGAGTTACAATTACAAGGAATATATTTCATAAAGATTACAGTTCCAATACTCAGTAAAGTTACAATTACAAAGTTATAAACAAACAGTCGGAGGTATTTATTAATAAAAAAATATTACCTAACAGATATGTATGAATGTCTACTATAAAGCAACAACTCACTTGTAACAAATAAATCATAGTATAACAGTCTGATCACACAAATATTACAAATTAAATAATAAACAGTATATGCCATCTAGTTATTTACAAAAGTTAGCTAACTAAATAACAAAGAACCTAATATTATTTTGTAAGTCATGTCCGCCTCAGCCGTCTCAATACTGACTGGCTCGCTGTACGCAGTACAACAAAACTACCTCGTCCAAAAATTCATATAAATTCTACGCTAAATAAATTAAATGTCAAAGCCTATAATGAAAGGTGCTAGTGTACGCGACGAAAAATTCCTAGGACACGCCCTTTCTAGCGAATATACTCTCCAAATTAATTGTGTATAAAAACCGCGTCTAGTTCCTTCTTTGTATAAAATACGAGAGCCGAATAATAATCATGTTTACTGTGGAATGCATTCTATCTTCATACATTATAATAATGTTTGTACGACTACATAATCGGCTACTGATGAAAAAACTGTTCTTAACTAACACTCGATACAACACATACATTTTGAGATTGTAAAAGCTTAAGTATCAAATATTTGAATATAATTAAAGTTCATTATGTTTATTATAATGTAGGTAAACATTAATATTATTGAGCAGTCTAAATTTAGGAGCCATTATTTCCATTGTAAATTGTTCTAATTCTATATAAGTATTTCCTGTTCGGTTATGATCAACTATTTGATTTCCATCTAGTCTATCATATCAAGCATTTCAATCGTGGTCTAATAATCGCGGCTAGCAAATTCGATTTTCAAATATCGCGCCATAAACTGACAGATGTCACGTCAGATTGACATTTGTTATTTTTTTCTGCGCTCATTCGATCACTACGTGAGCGGAGTCGTGGCGCTGCCGAGAGCAGAACACGGCGCAGAGTACAGGCAGTGCGCTCGTGAGCAGCCCCGCGGCGGAGGCCGGCTGTTATGCGAACGATTCCTTGGTAGGGCTTAACTGCTTTGTTCCGGAGCCAGAGCTAGTACTCGTACGGCTCTGACGTCCCTCTGGCGTATGGGACCTGTAATAAATAAATAAATATATGCCCATTAATATACTACACCATACATTATATATTAACCAGAGGTGATAGACTGTAAAAAAGTTTTTGGCGTGAGTAACTCAGTCTCAACTACTTTCTGCCATTCAGTTTATTTGTAGAATGTGTTTCGGTTGGAGTAATTAAGCCGTGAAATTATAAAATAAGGGGGATGTTATCATAGTCCTTTGCAATGGCAACGCATGTGTCACGGGTATCAAATGATAATGTAGTGCTAATGATGTACACAGGCGACGGTTATCGTATACTGTCAGGTGGACAGTCTTCTTGATGTCCACTCAAATTACATAAAAAAAATCACACAACCTAAGCAGTGTGAATTAACTGATTAAAAATACATTGTAATCAACTGATTAGTATGTATTTTCTAATAGATGATAATGGAACGCTGTTTCCGCCCGCTCTAACAGTAACACGCTTTTTTGGAAGTAAATCTTAAATTGGTTTGGAAGCGTAAGAGCCTTTGGCCAGTAGTACTCAAACATTAAGCTATAAAAAAAATATATATACCTTTAATTACAATACTTATTATGGTAAGGATTGTACAGCCACTTACTTCTGTAAATCAAGTTGAATGCTGTTTCGTGATGGCGCTGAAGGGCTCAGTTTGTGGTTTGCTAAGAATGTTCCGATTGACTCATCGGAACTGTAACTGTCGTTATCACTGCAATAATATTGTTTTAGTTATTCATATAGTTATTATATACAATTGTGCATTTAGGATTTCTCTAAAATATTAACATATAGTAGTAAACTTTTTACAAAAGGTTCCACCACTACGAAGATCATGGAATCACATGTCACAAGGGTCGTTTTATACAAAAGGCGAATTTATTCTATGACATGTTAAAGTATTCAAAGATAAATGAAAAGTATTATATTAGTTGATCAGTTTAGTCTTTTTCTTATAAACAATTTTCTTAAATTGCAAGACAGAGAAAATACACTAGTTTTTAAATAAGTTTGCGTCCTGTGTGCGTATGAAACCAACCTGTCGGTGTCCCTGGAGTCCCCGGGGCTGGAGAGGTCTCCGGCGATGGCTTCCTGCAGCGCGGTGGCGCGGCGTGCGGCGAGCCGCGCCTCGTCCCTGGCCGCGGTGGCCTCCGCCGCCGCCGCCGCCGCCGCCGCTTCTGCTGCGGACTTCGCTCTGGCCGCTTCGCTCAGCTTCACGTTTAGATTTGAGTTTTCTTCTTTAAGTTCACTGTGATTAAAATTATAGAACTTGAAAATCGAAGTCATTTGTAATATAGCTCATTGTAGTCTCTGGCCTTATTTTTAATTGCATTTTTATCGTATAAGCGTATTTTCTTAATCAATTAATTACGAATTCGTCTGCATCACACTTACTTGATACTTACGTTTTTACGTGAAAGAGTAACAAACATCCATCCATCCATCTACACTAAACTTCCGCGTTTATAATATTAGACTAGCTAACTCCCATTTTCGTTTGAATTACATTTTCCCCGTTTAACAACATTTTTCATTGGTTGTAACGGGATGTTCGGTAACCTTCAAAAGATCTACCATACATTAAAATAATCCAAAAAATTGGATTTATATTGAAAATAGTCGATATTGATATTTTAGCTAATCCTGTACAGTCAATTTGAGGACTGTGGTAAGTCTATAACTGTATGTCAGCATAAAATGTGTTCTGTATAAAAATCACTGTGAGGTATTATCGTATATGTCAATCATTTTGAAGAGTGTTCGTGTACGTCAGCAGTGTGGGAGTGCGTCTCACCGGAACTGCCTGGCAAGCTTGCGCAGTTCGTCTGCGGCGGCCTGGTCGCGAGCACGCGCGGCCGCCAGCTCGGCCGCCAGCTGCTCGTGCGCCTCCCGCAGCCGCGCCAGCTGGCCCTCCACCCGGGCGCGCGCCGTCGCCTCCAGCTCCAGGCTCGACTCCAGCTCCTGCGGTAGACCCACTCTTTAAATTCCGTCCACATCATAATTAGATACATTTTCTTATCTTTATTTTCACTATCCACCGAAAGCTAGCCGCGTCCGCGCGCGCTTCTTATTACAACACAGAGCTCCGCTCAGCAGAGAGCCGCTCGCGCGCCTGGCGGGCGGCGTCGCCGGCCGCGTCCATTATTACAACACTGAGTATGGCAGACCTTGTTCCTGCACTCGAGGCGGCGCTCGGCCTCGTGGTGGCCGTGGTCGTGGCCGGCCTCCGCGCGCGCGAGCCGCGCCGCCAGCTCCGCGAGCCGCTCGCGCGCCTGGCGGGCGTCGTCGCCGGCCGCGTCCATTATTACAACACTGAGTATGGCAGACCTTGTTCCTGCACTCGAGGCGGCGCTCGGCCTCGTGGTGGCCGTGGTCGTGGCCGGCCTCCGCGCGCGCGAGCCGCGCCGCCAGCTCCGCGAGCCGCTCGCGCGCCTGGCGGGCGTCGTCGCCGGCCGCGTCCATTATTACAACACTGAGTATGGCAGACCTTGTTCCTGCACTCGAGGCGGCGCTCGGCCTCGTGGTGGCCGTGGTCGTGGCCGGCCTCCGCGCGCGCGAGCCGCGCCGCCAGCTCCGCGAGCCGCTCGCGCGCCTGGCGGGCGTCGTCGCCGGCCGCGTCCATTATTACAACACTGAGTATGGCAGACCTTGTTCCTGCACTCGAGGCGGCGCTCGGCCTCGTGGTGGCCGTGGTCGTGGCCGGCCTCCGCGCGCGCGAGCCGCGCCGCCAGCTCCGCGAGCCGCTCGCGCGCCTGGCGGGCGTCGTCGCCGGCCGCGTCCATTATTACAACACTGAGTATGGCAGACCTTGTTCCTGCACTCGAGGCGGCGCTCGGCCTCGTGGTGGCCGTGGTCGTGGCCGGCCTCCGCGCGCGCGAGCCGCGCCGCCAGCTCCGCGAGCCGCTCGCGCGCCTGGCGGGCGTCGTCGCCGGCCGCGTCCATTATTTACAACACTGAGTATGGCAGACCTTGTTCCTGCACTCGAGGCGGCGCTCGGCCTCGTGGTGGCCGTGGTCGTGGCCGGCCTCCGCGCGCGCGAGCCGCGCCGCCAGCTCCGCGAGCCGCTCGCGCGCCTGGCGGGCGTCGTCGCCGGCCGCGTCCATTATTACAACACTGAGTATGGCAGACCTTGTTCCTGCACTCGAGGCGGCGCTCGGCCTCGTGGTGGCCGTGGTCGTGGCCGGCCTCCGCGCGCGCGAGCCGCGCCGCCAGCTCCGCGAGCCGCTCGCGCGCCTGGCGGGCGTCGTCGCCGGCCGCGTCCATTATTACAACACTGAGTATGGCAGACCTTGTTCCTGCACTCGAGGCGGCGCTCGGCCTCGTGGTGGCCGTGGTCGTGGCCGGCCTCCGCGCGCGCGAGCCGCGCCGCCAGCTCCGCGAGCCGCTCGCGCGCCTGGCGGGCGTCGTCGCCGGCCGCGTCCATTATTACAACACTGAGTATGGCAGACCTTGTTCCTGCACTCGAGGCGGCGCTCGGCCTCGTGGTGGCCGTGGTCGTGGCCGGCCTCCGCGCGCGCGAGCCGCGCCGCCAGCTCCGCGAGCCGCTCGCGCGCCTGGCGGGCGTCGTCGCCGGCCGCGTCCGCGCGCGCCGCCGCCTCGCGCGCCTCCGCCTGCGACGCGCACAGTGCGGCCGTGCTCGAACGGTACTTCTTCAACAGCTGCGACACGACATATGTATATCGGAATAGAGTAGAAAATGCTTTAAATCAAATAAACTTATGCACTTGAATTATCATAGCTTTTTATAATCGTTGCGAATTTTACATTTTTAAGTCGAAATGTGTGACTACAAACTATTTGATTTGATATCACAGGATAAATTTTTTAATGTATATTTGTCTTCCATGGTACACTGAGCTATAAAAATATCACACGTTTTATTAATTTGAATTCGAAATTCAATAATTTAATATCATGTTATTCGATAGTCATATGTTTTACCTCGGCTGCCTCCTCCTCTGCGTCGTCGAGCTGCGCCCGCGCTGCCGCGGCGTCGCGGGCGGCTGTAAGCGCGCGATCAGCTGCATCGGCACGCGCTCGTGTTGCTTCCTCTAGCGCTGCGCTCGCTTCTGTCGCCTCCGCCTCTGCCGTCTGCTTGGCCTTAGTCGCCGCGCGCACTGCTAACTCTAGATCTTCCACCTGACCAACAAAATAATTTTATTAACATATAGTTTTTAGTTACTAAACAACTACGTCTTAAAGTTAAGTTTGTATAAATAAGCACACTGGTTTCATAAACCAAAATGCGAGTATTTATAACAACTACAGGATTACGTACTTGATTCTTCAGTTGTCTAATCTGCGCCTTTCCGCCACCTTCTTTTTCTTTTTGCTCGAGCATCGTCTGTGCATCGCGTAATAATGCACGGTATCTCTTCAAGTCACTGTAATGGAAAATAATCAATAATAAATAAAAACAATATTATATCCATTTCGCAATAAAAACGTATGTTTTAAACGAAGTAACTCTGTTATATGTTTACATAGCAGGATATGATTGTGTGTATGGCTGGCGATTTAGTGTGGTGTAGTGTAGTGTAGTGTAGTGTACTATGCACGTACCGCTTGAGTCGCTGCGCGAGCTGCGCGTGGTCGTGCGCGTCTGCCCTGGCGGCCTCCTCTAGTGCAGCCAGCCGCCGCTCCAGCTCGTGCCGCTCGCGCAGAAGCAGCGAGCGCTCTGCGTGCTCGCTCTCCAGCTGGCTCTCCAGCACTGCACACAGTTACAATACGTTTTTATTTTTTTATTGAGGGGTTTGGGCTACTGTCAAGTGCTTTAGACCTGTAACACTGTGACATAGACATAGTCTATGATCTATTGTGCTCACCCTTTTTCTAAGTTCGCTACCTAAACCCGTAAAGATTTGAAGGATATTCTTAGGAGTGATGGTTTTTATCTTCTCAGGATAGAGCGTATACTTTCTAAGGGAGGTATTTCGTTTATGTTTGATAGGGGTACAACTATATACTATAAAGCAGTCACGATTGAAGATCGTATAAATATGCGAAATTGCGACGCGCGCGGTTTTTCTCGTTATCTTTGTCTACATTTACAAGCTCATTTATTCTTAGGTGAAAGTAGATCCCCCGTGAAAAAGCGTACGTGTAAAAGAAGCTAATAAGATAAATTTGCAATTCTATTTAACCTTGCATGTAATTTTTAATAAAATTGTTATTAGGTAGAAAGTAGTTATGACTTGCTTTTAAGTTTCTTGGCGGCGTTGGCTCTGGTCTCCTCCATCTCGTCATCGCGCGCGGCCGCCTCCAGCCGCGCCTCTTTACGTTGTTGTTCCAATAACATTTCGAGACGTAACTTGGAACTCTCCAGCAGCTGCCGACAATTATAATAAATAAGTAACATCGTTAAGTTGTTGACTTCAAATTAATTAACCGACTACATATACTGTAGACGATAATCGTGATTAAAGTAGAACTCTGTGATAGCCCATGCAGTATGCCTGAGCAAGAAGCACAAGCCGAAGACCTGTACTAGCAACACAAACGTTTGCAGAGATAGCCGTTTCTTTTAGCAAAATCATAATAATAATAACCTTGTACAAATCACACTGTGCCATCTAGTCCAAAGCTAAGCAAAGCTTGTGTTGTGGATACTAGTCTACGTATATAAATATCTATAGAATAGATATTGTGCACACATACATACCATACATAAAAAGTACTCAGACCGATACTAATAGAGGCACTCGTTAATACAAATTTTGTACCGTGTGTGGAATCGAACCCGCGACCATTGTAGTACTACACCGCTAGACCGTCAAAGGCGTCTTTACGCACCTGTATCTGGCCGGCGAGGTCGTCGAGCTCCTCCTCCTGGTCGCGCACGCGGCGCTCGAGGTCCGCGCGCGCTCTCCTCAGTGCCGCGGCTTCGTCTCCCGCCACGCCTCCTCCGCGCTCCTCTAGCTCGCGTGCCGCCGCCGACAGACGCTCCTCCTTCAGCTCAAGTTCCAGCCGAGCTTCCTATTGTACATAAAAACGTATTCATTTTTATTATACATAACAATAATAACAAACCTCGACAACTCACACACCGCCATGTAGTCCCACGCTAAGCAGAGCTTGTGTTATGGGTACTAGACAACTGATATTAATACTTAGATACATTTTTTTTTGTAAATACATATATAAAATACATCGAAAACATCTAATCCGATGGAAACAATCATACTTTCGAATACAAAATGTTTGCACTGTGCGAGGAATCGAACCTGCGACTATCAGAAGTAAAGCAGTGTGCTAAAGCGCTAGATCACCGAGGCCGTCAACGGAATACGAACGGAGACGACGTATGGGTGAACGGACGGAAATCAAGACGTGATGTGACGCTTGCGGTACCTCTCTGTCTTTTGTCTTTTCCCATTGTCCTCAGCGACTGGCTATTTACTTCATTGTGCCGCTGTGGGCTCTAATGAAGATATAAGTGCAGACAGAGGCGTTAACTTTGTTTTGTACTATGTAAAGATGTATAATGAAGAACGCATCAATTTATACTAACAGAGAGGCTTTGCTCGAGCGCGTATTTATCGGCATGCGCCTGGTCGCGTTCACGTGACATCCTCTCCTTGGCGGCACGCTCGCGTTTCAGTTCCTCCTGGGCGCCGTGTAGCTCCGCGTCGAACTTACGCTGTCGCTTCTCGAGGAGGTTGTTTCGACAGGTCTGTGAATATCATCACAAAAGTGTTATAAAAAATATAATATAATATAAAATTTCTAAAAGTCTCTCAGTATTTAATTAACGGAAACTAATAATGAGGAAAAAGGAAAACATTTAAGCAACACAATATAAATTAATAATAAATTACATTAAAGGAAGTATGAAAGTGGCACCGGTGTAAGAGAGGTTGAAGAGTAATCGTCTATCATGGTATGGACATGTAATGCGTAGGAATGAAGATAATATTTTAAGAAAGGTGTTACATATGAATGTGGATGGTTATAAGGGCAGAGTAAGGCCGAAAAAGAGATGGTTGGACTGTGTGAAAAATGATATGGTAAGAAAGGAAGTAAATAACGCGATGACTGCGAACAGGGATGAATGGAAGAGAAAAACATATTACGCCGACCCCAAATAAATGTGATAAGGAAGAAGCAGATGATGATGAATATAAATTAATAATAAATATCACCAAATCTCATAATCAGTGTTTTTTTATGAAGGATGATTTAGTCAATTGTGTTTAATTTTCTATAGGTCCATTGCTGAAGACTTACAGATTAAGTTACATGACTACAGATGTCATATACAGCATCGTAAATTTCTGTCACCATAATCACCTGTTCATCAAGTAAGGACCGTAGGTCTGCCATGTCGTTAGTCATCTTCTGCAGCTTGCGTTTCCACTGAGCGGCCACAGCACGCTGTTCTTCCACCTCTTCGTATGCATCTTGCACCTGACAAAAAAAACAAATACATAAAAAAATTTATAAGTCACGTTTGTTGACAATTGTTAATATTCATTAACCTATCTACTTTGGGAACTAATATGAATCCTATGACATACGAGATTTTGCGACATTTTTGACTATTAACAGTACTAATTATACGGTAGCATCATTATTAATTCCATATTTAGTGTTAACAAGTTAACAACATTAGTCGATATAAAATAAATAACACTATACCCAGGCCAAATAGATGCCTGACAGTTGGCAACATGTTTTTAATGTCATATTTGATTTACAGATTAAAATTTGTAGGTAACACATTTTTTCACGCTGAAGAAATCTAAGAACGACTAAATCGTCAGCTCCATATCCATCTCATATACATTCTTTGTTTCGTTCCGTTTCCCAATATACTAATTATTTTATGTAAGTTATATAGATATAATTAAGTTATATATTAAAGTAAATTTGCATATACTCCTACGAAAACACGTTGCACACAATTTCATTCATTAGGTACTGTCTGATTAAATAAAAAGTACTCAAAGTTATAAAATTAACATTTAAAAATGGAACCAACTAATTTAATTAAATTTATCTACCGTATAACATTACATTTGGAATACACGCAGGTCGACTGTCGGTCATGATTCGACTGCGTTTGATAACCAACTGCGTCGTCAGAATAGTAAATTGTGTTTGTTTTGATAATATGTATTGAAAGTGAGACAATAATTGGACTATTATCTTTTTGGTAAATATATGCATTATACATATAATATTCAGATAAAGAATTAACTAAACGAAGTTACTCATTGGTCATTGGAACAAAGTATAAAGTAAAATACATGTTTGTTTGTTCATTTTTCCGCTTATTTCTAAATTACGCAACGTATTTTGATCTTTTTTTACAATTAATCCAAGAATTTTTTGTAATGGCATAAGAAAAAAATATATCAGAATCAAAAATTGAAATAAGAATTCTAACATTGGCAGTATTAAAAATATTTATAAAACATACTTCTAACAGCTCAGTTTATAGGACAAGCAAATATGAAAACGGTAATCAGTGTCTCAAGTCGGTACTCAATTTTGTTACTATATTGTCATGGAGTAAAATAAATAATTTAAAAAAATACCGGATCGTCACGTTTTCTTCGGGACAACATCATCACGTGCGTATTTTTCAAAATCCAAGTGCGTACTAATTGTTGCAATGTAAAAACTCGAGTATTCTAATAAACGGGAGAGACACTAATCTTATAATTTGGATTTACGCCAAATAAACACGAGACCGGTCCATTAATTCCGATTAATTTATCGGTTACAATTGTTTGGTCAACACAGTGCACTCACCCCATCTGTTTCTTCGTCCATAATTAATTAAATTGCTACAAATCTCATTAATAATTTAACACAATGCACTTAAATCACTGTATAGTTCTTTTATGTTTTCTTATTTAATAATTACGTGCTAAATATCTGCGCCGAATTAAGAAAATCGTAAATTAAAAAAGTTGCGTCCATGACAGAATAGAATTCGAATTTCGAAATAATAGATTCTCACAAAATCAGACATTAAAACGTGTGCAACGCATAGGTTAAGTTTGTTTTCTTAAACAAGATTCGCTACGTAACGATAAGAGAGATTTAAACTACGCATTTTATCGCTGATGTTATCACTACATAGAGAGTACATAATCGTATCAAGTAGAATTTGAGATACGAGTTTGGGAAATCTTAGATAAAATGATGACCCAGATGCTGTTGTGTTGTGCTTGTCACATTATATTTAAATTATACTATACATACATGCTATACTAAGTTTCATTGTTTGTTGTTTTTCACGATTTAAGCTATCATATCTATATTATAATAAGATTTATAACATATTTAGCATTTGTAATGCAAAGTGATAAATTATACATGTCAATGTAAGAAGTTGATGGCTTGGTGGCGGACTCCGATGGCCGCCGGTTCGATTCCTCGCATGATACACAGGACCAAATATTGTAGGAAAAACATAGTAGAATTTGATTAAGTACAATCATGTATCATAAACATTTTTTAAGTTTACGTAAATAATAAATACTAGCTGCTAGCTCTTCTATACTAGTTGTTTCCCGGAACGCGTGTTTCGGTGGGAACGCCGTTACAATGTATTCAAATAAATTATTACATCCACTCGTAATTGACACAATAACTCCAAGATCATCAAAGCAACTCACGCTACTAAAATCACTATGATTTATGTTTACATTTGAACAGCAACGATAAATTGTAACTTAGTTGTAACGTAAAACTGTACAATATTCCGTTACATACATTATATTTATTTGTATAGTAAATTTTGTATGTACAGTTTGACTGGTCAACTGAAAATATATTAATACTAATAACCATAATAATATGCCTGTACATTTCACACAGCGCCATCTAGTCTCAAGCTAAGCAGAGCCAGAGAGAAAAGAAAAAACTCACGACCATTTCAGGAAAGCGGTGTGCTAAACTGCTAGACCACCGATGTCGTCAAAATAAATAAGCTATCATTAACCGACAGGACACGCCCGTCTGTACTAACTACTACTAATAACTGTTCTATAGCAATTTAAATTTATTAAAACTAATCCATAGGTACTAATATATTTATATATAATGCAGAGTCAAAGTCAAAGTAATGGCAAAGTCTGTCTGATTGTTATTTTAACACTAGAAAACGGCTTAATGGTTTTTAATAAATATTTGCGTGAAGATAGCCTGCATAATCATGACGGATATTAGCTATCTATTATTTAAAAGCAGACAGAATCGCAGGCACTAGTAAACTGCTAGTAGTGTAAATTCGTAAAAAATCCTCGTTGCGGAGTTGGATGAAAGCATAACTAGTAAATATATGATATCAGTAATGTATTTTGAATGATCTTTGTTCTCTTTTGTGATAGTGGTAAATATAAATTGAACGTAATATACGATAGATTGAAACATATCTCGTTGAGTTTACTCGCGTTAAGTTTCGGAGCACTATAAATATTAGGCATTTTGCCAGCAGTTCACATTTTTACATCTGTAAACTGCTGTACTAGGGAACATTTTATATTAATTTAAATCATTATTTATTTTATACTACCACACAGAAATGGTAAACAGTGACTCACATCTTTAAGTTGTGGTATATTTACAGGTACATTATTTTTGTGTGGTTTTTTCCGCAGTGCATATATCTTTGTACAGTTTAGGTTATAAAGAGTTTAGGGAAAATTCAGAGTGCTGATAGACTTTAAATGCTGGGACGAAGATACTTTTGTTAGAAATTTCACATATTCACATAAAACTCTATTGATATTTTGATTTTTCGTTAAATATTAATAATATCTCAGTAAAATTCACACAGCGTCATCTAATCCCAAGTTAAACCGAGTTTGTGTTATGGGTACTAAACAACTGATACAAATACCTATATACATACATAAATACAAAATATACATAAAAAACACCCATACAATCATCATCATATATATATAGGTATAAAACAAATGTTTGTACCGTGCGAGGATTCGAATCTGGGGATTTGCTGAACCGCGAAACCACCCTGGCTCAGTTTTTTTATCGCTAAATAATAAAGGTAAGATGCTTCAAAATATTTGAGATAACTCATGGAGATCAGATTCAGAAAGGTCCACAACACGGATATTTCTAATATCAGTCGTGTCGTTTGTTTTGACATGACGTACCTTCTTCTCGAGCTGTTTCTTGACTGTGACGAGTTGTTCCAGGTCATCTTCATGCTGTCTTCGTAGTTGCGCCCTGAGGAGTTGCAGCTCTCTGTGGGCGCTCTCATACCTACAAAGTGCATAACAATTATTTAGGTAAGAAGTAGTAACAGAAAATTCGCAAGTGAGGAAGGTATTCCCACTTCGTTATTCGTACATATACTTATATTTGCTAGCTAATTAGAATTTTTATTAAAATCGGTAAGTATTTAATCATTTGTAATAAATGCGATTAAGAAATAACTTTATACACAATATTTGTGTCTTATTGAAATGAATTTTCATTAATGTATTTATATCGGTTTTTTCCATATAATTTTAGAAGTAGCTGTTAACTAAAATATATATATAATTAAGACCGTAAGCGGACACGATACGCGCGTTTTTCTGACGCAATAGTCCACACACATGTAATTCCCAGTTGTATTATTCAAGTTACTTTTCAGATTTAAGAAGGCTGATTTTCATAAAGCAGTCGTAAAAACTACGCGATTTTGATACAACAACTGTGTTGCTAAACACCTATTTAGGAATCTGTCAAATCGCTGAGTGATGCTAAAAGTATTGGGTCTGCGTTTCCAATTTTTTTACAAAATATACTCTATTCATAAAAGAATATGGTACCGTCGTTTGTATTTATCGGCATTGGATCCGGCTTCGGCCTCCGAGCCTTCAGAGTCTGATGGTTCTGCACCTCCGCTTTCTGCCGACCGCCAGTGCAGAAGCTCGAGCTCTAGTCGTTCTGAAGCCTGTTAAAACAATCGTGTGTCAGTTCAAGTAAATGTTTCATATTATAAGACGATGTAATAAAATCTGTAGGAGATTCTTAATTAATATTTTTTATACAACGGTTATTATGTAGATTATTTTGTGCGATTAAAAACGTTATTATGAAGCCATTTATAGGTGCAGTGGGATCCGAAACCATTTGAAACGCACTGAATTGCAAATATAAAAACTGCTACCTTTAAACCGTATTGGTGTAGAATTTTTTAAAAGAATTGTTATTAATTAAAAATCAAAAAGAAAATATTTATTTCCCAATATATAATAATAAATCATTAGTATAAGAATTGGTATTGACTAATATAATTGGTTTTCAAAATTGTGAAGTATCGGAACGTATTGTGTGACAGAGACGAATGTGCAAGCAAGAACAAGCTATAGCTGTAAAAAAGAATAAAGGTACTCCATAAAGATGTCTGTTTTCCATTTACATGAAGCTGCGGACAGGATAATACATACATACAGTAAAAAATAAATAAAATGGTATGTGTTACTCGCCTGCTGCAAGCGCTGGTTGTTTACAAGCAAATCTCTGTTGTCACGTTCGACTCGCAGCCTCTCAGCAGCTTCAGCGTCCGCACGTTCTGTAGCGAGCGCTGCAGCCGCTCTTTCCTCAGTCAGCTCTCCGCCGACTTCAGACAGCTGAAAAGAAAATTATTTATTAGGAATGATAGGTTCATATTACTGTCTTCATTCTATTATACTATAAGTTTTAAAATAATTCTCCGTTACTTATAATTATTAATTGTTAAGATTTTCTGTTTTTCTGTAGTAGTTATATTTATAATATATGAATACTAGCTGATACCCGGAACTTTGTCTACTATTTTCAGATAAATGATAGCCTATATAACAAATACAGAACAGGCAGACACACTTTTATTTTCACAACACTTGTAGTAGTAGTAGTTCGGATGCTCTTCTTATTTACAAATCTGATTACTCGTTTAGTTTGATTCAATAGTTTTAGTATAATTGACTTAAATACTTTAAATTTCTTCTATACTAGGTATTGTAATATACTTTTTACTATATTTTATTTTCAATACTATGAATTGCACAACATTGCACTGCATCAATCGGTGAGACTATTTAACTAGTTACTGGCTTAAAAATTACTGACCATCTTTTAGATTAAAAATTAGTTAAAGTAATTTTGTTGAGTTAAGTATTTTAATTTGGAATAGTAGAAATAATTTTAGTTATTAAGTTTAATTTAATAGAAATTATGTCTCTATTAATTAAATTTTTAACACAATTGTAAAATTGTTACAAAATATATGAACATATGACTATACATATGAGCGAGTGATAAGGGAAAACCAAACTCAGTTTATTAAATCAGTTCTGTAGACTGCTTTGATAAATTCGCTCATAGTTAAAAAATATATATTTCTGGAATAATAATTCCAGATTGAGATAGGTATCATCTATGTCATACTTATGTATTATCTTAATATTAAAACTTTTTGTGTTTTAAGCTAGTGAAATCGATACAGACCAGTAGTTATATAAGTACATTTTTGCAAGTGCTATAGATATATGTAGATAATGTTATTAAATACAACTAGATCCGATTTAATAACGAACGTGAGAGTAATCAACAATAAAGCGGGAAATTGTCGTGTTATTACATCGCTTAGCATCGTCTGCCAACCCATGAGTGAAATTTTACGATGCGGTAATATTTCAGACATAACGGGCTAAAATTGGAACATATTGACGTATGAAGACGGGAACTGTTCAGTTCATAACATATGTATGATGAATTCGTCTAATATTTACAAGAAAGTTGACAAACATTACAACATCTCATGAATACTCGAGTTATTTCAGAGACAACTCTAGAATAACAAACTTCTCCCTGAGTGTGAGTGACAATGAAAAGTAGTGATGACGGACAGCAAAAATCTCACATATTTGTTATAGCAATTGTTAGAAGTCAACAATGAAAAAATCTTTTGGCAACAGGCACCGACACGCAGCGAGTAAGCGCCACTACTCGATGTTAGCGCGTGTAACTCAAAGACTCTGTTGTAATTTATTACTGGGTATTACAGAGCTTCGCGAAATGTTTTCGATCATTTAAACGCTTGGAAATAAAAATGGTTGTGCAATGATGAGTCACCAACCTCCTCCAATTCAGAAACTGTTGTACGATCTTCGGAGGTTCCTCTTGTTGATCTGCAGACGCTGCTTGCTCTACTTCCATTACGACTGAATAACGTAAAGCCTTTAATCATAATATTGGTTGCTGACTTTGATCTGCCGATGTTTCTTTTTTTTCCACCGTAGTACATTTCTAAATCAGGTTCATCTTTATGGCCAAGTCTGCGCCACTCATCCATTACATGATCTGTTCTTTTTAAAAAGCTATCTATCTTTGAACTTAAGTAGTTGGAAGAAGTTCCTTCTTCTAAATGAGCTGCGACTGGTTTGAATCTTTGTCTCAATGGCTGCTTGTTACATCCGAGAACAAAGGACAAATTTGCATCGAATACCACCGGAGACTGTTCTTTAGATTTAAGTTCTCTTAAATCCATATCATTTACACTGATTTGTGGGTACATTCTTCTCGGTGTCGGCGTTCTGTTATATAGAGTTGAGTTCATACTTGAGGAGCGAGACAATGGAACAAAAGTACCATTACTACTGCATGTCGAATATTGGCTGGCAGAACTACGGACACTACCATAGGATAACGGGCTCGGAGATCGTGAAATTAAAATGCTATTTGGATTGTGACGTCTGGCAAGGTCTGCAATTGAACCTGTTTCTACAGAGGTTGATGAAATACTTCTTTTGTAAGTAGGACTAGGCGAGCGAGTCACAAGACACTTATCTGGAGGATTTTGTTGAATAGTGTGAATTTCTTTCAGTGTTTTTGTTACGAAAAGTTTTTTGCCATTTAACAGGGTTGTTGGAGTTTTCGGTGGTATTGTCTCTTCAAAATGTATTGGTAGTGTTTTAGATTTCTTCATTGGCAATATGGGACGACTCGGCGGTGCCTTCGGTGGTTTTCTCTGAGTCGTATCCAGAATTGGTGGTGACAGTGGCCCATTCGATAAAGGTGATAGAGATCCATTAGTCGGAGAGTGTATTCCATTGGTTCCATTGGTATAGATGCCGTTAATTCTGTTCTGTTCTGGTATATGCAACTTTAATTGTGAATTGGTTGCATTAAAGGCGTCAGAAGCGACGCCGTGGGGCGCGTGCGGCATGTTGTTTTAAGCTGGTGTGCGCTTACGTTTCCTGTAGTAGCGGAAGCGTCTCCCGCGGTGAAAGTCCAGTGCCATTTCAATGTTGTCCGAGGCAGTATTATTGTCGCGAGCGATTTAGGATGCGTCGAAACATCTGTTGGAAATAGAACCGGCACGAGAGGGATCCGCGGACGCACTGCGGCGGCTATCTCGGTCGCCGGGCCGACGTCGTCGCTAGACTATTTTGGTTTACTTAGATGTCGAAGTGCACGCGCGAAAGACACGCATTGGACCTTCAAAATCCGTGGACATTCACATCATCATCGTTATGACCGTCCTTTTTTGTAGGGGTCGATCAAAATATAAACAAGATTTGCAATAAATTTCAATATAAATGCTATTTTATTTGTAAAATAGTAAAATTATAAATCGATCAATATATTGTAGGTACTGGGTTGTTCCGAAATTATATTTACGAATTGACTTAAAATTGGGTCAGTTGATACGCCTGTCAGTAGATTAGAGGCAGTTGATGCTACATGCGCAGGAGCATCCGACCGTTAACCGTGAAGGGCATTGTTTGATTTATGTTAGATTTTTATGAAGTCAAAATACTCCGATTAAGAATAATGCAATTATCAGTGTAGTAATGAACTACTATTTATGAAAACATGTATGACCACTCTGTCTCAGGATATAGTAAGAGACGATTAGGGAACAAAGAAGAATACACCAAAAGAATGTCAAGAAATGTCAAAATTCTTTCATGAACCATAACATTGGTCAAGAGGTTTTGAAGCTTACAAGAAGCATCAGTAAATATACCTTACTTGTACAGACTACTCTTCGTTCCTCTAGTTAGTTATTGTAAGAGAATCCTGGAAACAAAATAGTATTGACACATATACTATAATGTTGTAGGAGATATATATACATTAATAGAAACAAAAGAATTATTACATAATAGTTTTAAATGTCAAATTTTAATTCAAGGATTCTAATTTTAAACTGACTCTCAGTTTTAAAATACAAATAAATAGTCATTATTATAATGAAATGTTCTTACATTTTTGAGGAATGTTAGTATATTACGACATTGTAATAATAAAGTATCCGACATTTTGTTCATAATAAATGTCTCAATTTAGTTGGCGAAATAAAATGCCGTTGGCGTAAGAGTTTTACAAATAAATATAAATAATACCCAACTAATTCGTGTTTACTGAACGTTGGTATATTGGGTTATTTGCATCATTTGGCAATAACATTTGCCAAGAATCTGTAGTTAGCGGATGGAAGTAATTGGGCGGGTTAGGTAGGTATAGTGCGCAACTAAAACTGTAGTTCATGACGCAACACTAAAGCAGTACCTACCATTTGTTTAGACGTAATTATAAAAGCTAATACCAAAGTATAATCATATATTTACAGGAATAGTAAAATTCGTTCATGGTAAAGTAAAAAAAGACGATATTTACAATCTCGTTAAAGGCGGAATTTACGAGACTTAAATTCCCAATTTTTTTGCCCAGAATTGGCAAAAAAATCATAAGAATAAGACAAATAAGACTTACTTTTTGTATGCGTCTTATGATGCATACAAAAAGTAAATCTATTTTTTAGTTTCAACAGAATTTATGAAAGTCGTTGTATTTTTATTGCATAATACTATAATTAACAAATAGTTTTTAATGAATAGTTCTTATTTAATAGAATTTAAGTAGTTTTATCGGGACATTCAGCTATAATTTATGTAGTTTCGATATTTCCATAATTTAACAATTAAATTCAGGGGAGTACATGGTTTGTACTCCCCTGGTTACTAATGGTTTTTTAGGAAAAGAACCAATGAAAATCTGCGATATGAAACTCAATTTAACATTTAAATTTTAAATTCATGTTACAAATATAAATAATATTATAGAAATGTAAATAATATTATAAATATTACATTCTTATTAATACTACTATTATAGAATTATAAATATGAAAGCTAGTTTGATACGGCGTGTTTTTGTTTATGTCTTAGCGCTTTAACGGCTGACGAGAGTCAAGATTTTGTATTCGCATTAATATATAGGTCATATTTTGTATGACGATGTACATCAGCTACCAATATTATTATACAAATGTATTTGGAATACATATTAATTTATGTAATTGTTATTTTCTTTCTGTGAGAGGAACAATAAAGAGTTTTTCATTCATTCATAATCAATGACGATGATAATAATCAGTTGATTTGATTTGAAATCTGTTCAAAGTCAGCTTACTCTTTGATGTATGTGGAACACGAGAGGATATTATTTGCGTTAAATTTGAAGACCTACTTTTCGGAATAACATGTCACAATTATAGTTCATTGAAATCTAGATTTAGCAAAATATAAATTAATTTTAATGTATTACATTCTGTACTTGTTTTTGTATACATGTCACAAAA